ATCATGTCCAACGTAGAAAACACGGGCTAATCTACGAGGCGTGCGGTATTTTCAGGGAACCCCTGGAATAAAATCCCACCCTCCCATTTTTTCCCAATAGACTGAACGCGCTCTCTAACTCCCTAAAACGGGAATTATTCGAGGTTTATAAGGTGATTCGGTCGACCCGAAGATCAAATGCTCTGGTTCCGACCGAACGACTGATCACATCCAGCCCAAAGTGGGCAAAGTTAGTAATTTGGCACAACCACTAGCCGAGCCAGTGAATATTCACTCGGACCACATCCGACTAACCGATATTCGCTTAAATTCAGTCTGTTAGTCCTATACCTTCCTACCAAACCCATCCCCAACCCTTACTCACACCACCCCATGGCAGTTGCACTTGGAAGTATTGAAATAGTGGTTTTTTATTTTCATTTTCCACTAATTAAATCACCTAATTTAGAGAGATCTTGGTAGCATCAAATCTGAACGTTGAATTTTCGCTCGCCCTGAGCATCTCGCTGATATTGGCCATGGATAGGACCCCGTCCTGGGACATAGCCTGCCCATCATATCTATCATGTGTGTTGTGTAAAAACCGACCCCCCTGGACCATTCGTGGCCGACCTCTGGGCACCGGGAGGTCTCCCCAGAGGGTTTTAACGTGTATTGTTACCGTAATGTTTCATATGTTGCTGTTTTATTTACATGTTATATTAGGTTTTATATATACCCACATAAATGTTATTCATGTTTAAGTTGAGAAATAAAAGTATTGAATCGGTCACAACCATGTCAATTGCTAAGGGTTTTACAATACTTGCCTGCATAATCGATTTAGGGCAGATCGTCAGAGACCTACTCATATACCTATATAATATATTAGGCCGAGTTAGGTCAGATTTTTTGGAAAAAGTAGTTCCCTTTCTCATGTTTGTATTTACTGAGCATTTACTGAGCCATTTTACCTGGGACCGAATTTACCTATGCAGTATCAGGTAAAACAAAGTTTGGGACCGAATTTACACCTCATTTTTGGCCTAATAATTCTTGGGACCGAATTTACATACCTATACTCGAAAAATCAACCCGAGTCAGTGATCGAGTTAGGATCACTCAAGTTTCCGAACAGAGGTAGGTAACCGAACGTTCATGTTATTTAGGGATCCGATCAACCTAAACGCCTTATGAAATCATAAATCATACAAACAGAGTTTTATTGGAGATGTCAACTTCCAGGTGGGTCGAAGTGGTCAAACGGATTCCATATTCAAGTGCAAGAATACACTTTCCACGATTTCTAGAGGTCCAAAAGGCGCCCGTGCGCATATACTAGTACCGTTATCCAAACACGTCCGCGATGTGCATTGAAACCCACCGTAATCTATTGATATTTTATGCGAAGAATATAACGTTAACTTTTATGAAAATTTACGTGGAAATGCCTGAGGAGTACCCGTGATTCCGAATCCTCTTTTCTGCCAGTGGCGGAGTGATTATAGATAAAACTGAAGAAATAACATGAATACTGTCTGTAGGTTGATCGAGGACGAGGAGGTGGCATTCATTATTCCCGATTTTTTGGGATTTTATCTCGTCGTCTCTATAAAATGAAAATATGAATATTATTTCAATATACGTGTAGTAAATCAGATGATTTGCCCCAAAATGTCACTGCGTTTAAAGAATTTTCCTATCAGAGAGCCTAAAAGAAAAATTCACCAGCTGAACGGATACAATAGCATTGCTTCCTGTTCAGTTGATATAGATAGAACATGGTATATTCACTACTGAAATCTGAAAATGAAAATGATAAATTCAAGATTAATTAATGAAAACATGTTGATGTAATGTAGGTGCAAACACACATCTATATGATTTAGAATCTTTTCATTAAAATAAAACGTTGACACACTAGGCATATATTATCTGACAGTTACTAAGTAGTCATTGAAACAACATTATCAGTAAAAAAACAAAGAAATGGAAGGTGATCTGATACATTTGAATGTTTTTCTTCAACAAAACATCCTGTAACTCATTTAATTGCCAATGTCACCAATTGTTACAGAGAACTGAGGAGTGTCAAGACGAATACGAATTTGCCATACAAAAATACATTTTTATGTTGAAAATGGAAGCAGATTCCTTCCCGAAACGTCCAAAGATAAGTGAAAATTCGATATTTTTTCTATATACCTACCTTTATTTCTCCTCCAAACCTTTTTCTATACAAATTGTCACTGACAAGCTGGTAAATTTTTCTTTTAGGCTCTCTGTTAGGAGAATTCTTTAAACGCAGTGACATTTTGGAGCAAATCATCTGATTTGTCCCTACTACACGTATATCGAAATAATATTCATATTTTCATTTTATAAAGACGAGGAGAGAAAATCCCAAAAAAATCTGGAATAATGAATAACATGAAGTTAATTACAAATCTGTTCTCTGTTGGTGATTGTGGTTATATTTTATTTTTGGAACATTTGTAATTTTCTCTTTGTAATATATTCATCGTACAATAAGGTAGTAAGTTTTTAATATTCCCATTCTGTTTTCCCAAAAATCTATCTGTACATACATGGTGTTTCAAATATAGTTGACTCCCTTTCTATAGGGTAGGTAGAACACTGCAAAATAAGTTGGGTGGCTCAGTGAAAAAAATGTCATAATGACATCCGTTTTTGAGATACAAGGTGTTGAAAAAATCTTTAATTTCGCGGCTAGCGTTTTATAGCCAAGGCGTAGCCGAGGCTAGGAAACTGGTCAAGGCATTAAATCTGCTTCTCTGACAAGTGAATCTTATAATTTTTCCTTCAAATTCGTTCCAATTTCACGCAAATCCTAGTAATCCAAAGTCATTGTCAATTTGGATTACAAATTTGATTCAAATTATAGCAACAAACTTTTTCTGCCTATAGGCAGTACTTTCTCTGCCCATCCCTAATTATGGTGAAAGGTGTCCGTATTCGGGTTTCGCATCCCCAAAAAGTTGTACGCTAAGTTTAATTGGCTACTTTTGACCTCAGTAATAAGTGTTGAGATTTTGTACTCACCTTTTAGGAACACCCTGTATATAGGCAAACGAGTTTTGGTGAAGAGTTTATCGATATACCTCGAGGTTGACCTAAAAAGTATTGTCGAGTATATCTGACTGGTATTGCTTTGTGAAGAAATTAGATTCATATTATATACTCCTGAGTATACTATATTGAAAATACATTGTCCCATCACTATCATTGCCTATGAAATAATAATTTTGTTGGTACGACTATGGTCAGGAAGCATTTAGTTGATCGTGACATTGATATTACTCGATGTGAATTCAAAATTCTAATCATTATGCGGCAACCTATATTGACACCATTAAAAAAACGATTCAACAGGTTTCTATAGTGCTATTTAGATGCATAGATATATACAGAAGCTATTTGCTGATATAAATCTTGATGAAGATTTGTCGTATACAGGGTGACTGGCAATAAACCACTGAATCCATAGCTCCGTTATATTATATTATACAAAAATCAAAACCTCTTTGAAATACTGTATAAGGTACAAGCCCAATGATTTAATTCTTGAACTCAACCAGTATTCCAAATGTTAGCTAGAAATCCTGAGACCAACAGAAACGAAAAAGTACAACATATATTTATAGAAACTTCCATCATTTTCCTGAGACGCTCTATTATCCATGGGAGGGCGTCTCACATATTATGAAACACCATGTATATATCTCAAATAATCTTCCCTTGTAATTTTCATATGCTTGGCTTACTTGAAAAATTAAAAATCAATAATTAAATATCATTAGCAAGTTTTTGTCAAGAATATTTGACTCTACCACTGGATTAAGCTTTCTTCAATTAGGCTGATTACAAAATTTCATAGAAATTCTTTGGCAACAAAGCTATAACAACTTTAATTTTCGCAACATAATATTTTTAATGAATATTTCTGACAAATTCTGAGAAGCAACAACATTGTCAACAGGAAGGTTGGAAATCATTGAGGGAGTCGATAAACTATGAGAGGTTTCTTTTCGACATTCGAATTTATATCACAAATTATTCTCGAAGTAAAATTTTTCGCATTTATTCAAAAAATATGGGAAGCAAAAAATTGTGGACCGTTTTCTGAGTAATTTTCAATCAACAAAGTTAATATAGGGGATGTGTGGATATGATGGCATACCTGATATGATGGCACCCTTGCATTATTAACGGCGTTCATTCGAATAAGGATAGTTCGACAGTTGCCCGCGTTTTTCATAGTTACCTGTGATAAGTATACTAATAAGCTTCTCAACTACCATTTAATCTCATTGATAATTTTAGGTTAACAAAATTTTTTTTTCGATATCCACAGTGTTGCTCTTTTGATATGATGGCACCTCAGATGTTTGTTATGATGGCATAGGGTGCAGCTAACAGGAAACTTTAAGCAACTGATGAATCAGATGAGGAATGTACCAAAATAAACCATGAGCAAGATGACGATGCTGAAGATGTTGCATTCTTGTACTGTAACGAGCTCTACTCTTGGTCGAAATCCAAAGAGCTGTGGCTCAAATGTCAGCTATGTAGTTTGTGGGCACATGCTGCTTGTGCAGATAAAAGTGAAAAAACCAAACATTTCATTTGCCAAATTTGCGAAGATGACTGATTTCACTTATGTTACCTGTTAATTTTTTTAGGGTGTCATCATTGAAAGTTGTTTGTTATGATGGCACCCTTGACAATAAATAAATAAAATACAGTAAATAATTGAACATGTGCTTTCATGCAATTATGAATCCATATATATATCAACAATAATAATCTTGATGTGTCTTGTGAATTTTATCCATATTCAATGTATTTCAGACCCTGAAAACAAATAATAAAAAAAAGGGTGCCATCATATCTACACCTCCCCTACATACTAGTACTAAAAAGTATAATTCTGTAACTTGGATATTTTGTTGGGGCAAATTGAGGAAGTGAAAGACACCATTAGATCATTCATTTATTGTCTTGCCCCCATTCTAGGGCTGGATAATATGGATACATCAGTCAAGAGTGAACATATCTAGACGGACATTCAGTGGACGCTGACAATTATATGATATGCGCAATTTGTTTAAATTTGTGTGAAACACTCCATTACAGTTCACTTAGTGAGAAAAAATCGTTCCATGGCAATACAAGTTCTAATTTACACATTTCGATTTTCTATATATTTCTCTGTTTGGTTTCATTCAGTTGAGTAAGTAGAATATCGTCTCATCAAAAACGCAAAATTTCATGGGTGAAACTACAATAATTGACCAGGATTAAACTTCCAAAAACAAAAAATTATTCTTTCGGACGTGAATGCATGCCCATCATAAATAGCCAGTACTAGTAACGAGCAGCCACTGACTTTTTATGGTCAAAGATCATTTAATTAACTACCTTTATGTCTGAACTCTTTGAATGACTCATCATGAGTTTATTCACTTGAAAATCCATGTTGCTTGTTTTCTCGCATTTTATCTGAAAATAGAGGATAAATATGACAATCTTATCGTTATCGAAGATTGCAATAATTATTGTTGCATTTGATAGAACTTTTTTTATGACGATCTGAGGAAGGTTCATTGATCAAGTGAACATTGGGGACTTTTTGGGTGAATCACGGATGCATTCTTTCTACCTCTTTATATACATGGACACACAAAAAAATTGGTGAAAAATAAATTAAGTAAATAAAATGACCATTTATAATTTGACCCTGATTGACAATCTATACATTTATTTTTTCTGGAGGAATCAAAATATTCAATTACAATTTTCGGTATCGAATGTTTTGTCTCATCAATTCTATCACATCTAAGATAATTTCAGAAAATCAGCACCATTGAAGAATACATAGGCTGTACATTATTAGAATCAATATACTGTGATATTTTTTTGCGATGTTGTCTAGTCTCTCAGTTATACAGTTAGATATATAGAGATTTCATCTCGAGGCGAGGTATTTTCCCAAAATTTGCAACTAGGTAACTTCATAGTTCATATACTTCCAACACATGAGAGTTCTCACGTTATTGAAGGTTGATCAAATATAAATTCCAAGAAATGCATGTTTCAAGAAGAAATTCATCGATTCTCTTCCAGTTGCAAATTTTGGAAGAATACCAAAATTGTCCAAAGATAAAGTCCCAGCTGTGACCGATTTTTCATCATAATGAAAATTTCTGATACCACACGTATAGCAAATAATAATAGTGTCTTAGTTCTAACTTATTTACACCCTGTTAAGTATACAGTATGTTCGAATTTATTATCTTAGCTGTGATTGGAATTACTGAAATCCTTCAGGTTTTCAAAAAAGGGACGATTTATGTGTGGTCTGTTCTATGTCCTTAGAACTGTAGTTGATATTGTATTTAACCAATTGAACTGTATTAGAGTGTTTATATATCTTACAGAATGTATGAATTAAAATAATTGCATTCAAGTTTATGCCCGAATTATTTTTTTTTGTAAAAACAGCTAACATCACACCAACATCTTGGTGTTTATAATATAATGGTATTCGAAGGAGACGCTCGTCAAAAATCAACGCAAAAACCAAAAATATCATTCGGATTCGGTAGCTATAGAGATTTCTATAATTTCAAGTTTGAGATTCATTCAATAGATTTACTTCCAAGAGAAAAATGAACAGCCATTTCTGAATGAATACATAGTGGAAATGTTGTGTCCTGGATCTTCTGACATATATAATGAACAGTTTTTCAAAGTAAACAATTCGAAATATCCTGACTAGCTTGAATACAGATCTTTTTTTTTTGTTTCACTATACAGGTTTTCATGAATATCATCTAGATATGGAATAATTCCTTGGCTTATTTCGGGACTGAACGTTCTTTCAAACATGTGTGCTAATTCGATATATCAGTTTTCGAGATACATGGTGTTGAAATTGGGAAAAAAATTAAACTATCGTCCAATGAAAAACTGATTTGACGTCTCATTTTAATGTATATAGGTGCCTCAACACACTGTATGACTGTAATTGAGATTGAGATTTTGAAGTTATGAGAATTTCTTAAGCACATAACAGACTATCTTGAACTCGACAACATCAAGAAATCAGCCAAGAAGCTACCTATTTCAATATGTACATAATATTTAAGATACACTCTGTATAGGAATTCGTACTGTTAATTAACCCAAATGATTATCATAAGCTGAATGATTATACAATGAAGATTATGATGAAATTCGCCAAAAAGTGAATTTTCCAAATATGGCTGATAGAGTAATAGTATACAGGGTCCCTGAAAGGTCTGTACAAAATGATACCATAGACTCCTGAGACCAAGGCAAGAAGATTGAACAGCTCATTGAAATTGTATTTTTATTTCGTATTTTTATGCAACACCATGTCTTTAAAATTCGTGGAGAAATGTGTGTCACATATTGGATATCATTCTATGATAGATGATTTTATATGAATGCAAACCTACAATAATTAAATACTGCTGAAGAGTATCAGGTATGCATCAAATTGAATTTGGCCAATTAATTTGCAAACCAATAGAAATATCACAAACTCTCAAGAGAGCTGAAAGTTAGGTTTTGAATGAGGGAATAGAAAACAATATTGAGATATGTTCAGTGGCGTACTGAGAAAAAGTGCTATCAATTTTTTGATCAACAGTACTCCAAATATGTAACATTCTTCAAGTGTACCTAAAAAATTTCAGAACGATATTCATCGACAATATTGAAATATGCGAAAAAATAAAGAAATGAAATTCGCGTTTTGATATAGACGTAAGTTTGGTTCAATCATCGCTTCTTGGTCTCAGGAGTCTATGGTAATCTTTTGTACAAACCTTTCAGGATCACCCTGTACATATGACTCTTCTTTCTGAAAAGTTAAAATGACGTGTTTGAAAAAAAAACGAGCCATTTTTTTTGTCAGTCATAATTCGAAATCCATATCATTCGAAATTTTCTCATAGTTTGGCAAAAAATAAAAATAGCGTTCTGTTTATTTGTGTTGCTAGTGACCATTTCCTTGTTTCTGTAATAGACTGTAATCTATTGATGAAAATATATATTAGTTTCCGTCCATTGAATATTTTTTTGATGATATTGAATGATAGTTGACAAATTTTCAGAAGCACTTGAAAGCTATTTGCATTTTAGGTATTTGTCCAAAATCAAGAGTCTAAGGAAACCAAAAGAATACCTACTATTTCGTAAATATATAAAGCTGTCATTCTATTATATACATTTCAACTCGCTTCCGGCCAATAGAAATATTTGATGGATAAGTTACTTAAATGAATCATGGCAAAAATCTCTACAAGTGGCCTGAAAAAAAAATTAACAAATAAAATATTTATAATTTCGAAAGTTGTGACTTGGAATAATATATTTTTTCGAATTTCATAGCCGTTCAGCACTGTAACACTAAAAAAAATACAATAATGCAATGCAATTCTTGAAATTATTTTGTAACGAGTAACACCATTTGCAGAAATTCGGTAATATTAATCATTTTTACACTTTGAATTGTCTTGTCATTTTTTGCAACTGATGAGGAGTCGTCCAGTAATTTTTAAAATACCAAAATGTATTTTTCATAAAGTGATTTGTACAAGAAAATTCGTTGTGAACGAGGGAAGGAAAGAAACTTGATTGATTTCGCGAATGTCTAGAATTCAAGAACCCTGTAAAAACAATTCGAAAGTGATCATCAAGAATCGAAAAGATATTGAAATGACCGTGAAAACAAAATTAGAGATTATATTTGAATCGTTTCAGTAACGTTACATGTTCTAAATATTCCCAAGTATTTGTACAGGTTGTTTCAATTTTATCATACACATTGTGTCTTCAATAATTATGATTCAGAATCCTGAGGAATCCGGGCCAGTCATTTTTTAATCATTCAAGAAAAACTATCAGGAAATCAAGAACTACAGAAGCATAATATGACGAAAAACTGTACTGCACTTTTGTATTTCTAGAATATGGCGGAAACCATTGAGTTTATGGAAAATGACATCAACATTCATGCAGTTTTTTTTAATGATCTTTCGAATGGTTTTGACAGAATTTGTTCAAAATGTCATATTTCTGTCACGTTGCTTCAAGCCTGTTCTTGACAAGTTGTGTCAGGCACAGAATCGTTTGCATAGAAATTTCAACATAACCAACTCGACATTAAACAAAAATGGCGTTTATAAGAAGAATTGAATATATTATCTCATATCTCAGAAATTTTACATTTTTATCAAAAAGTGACATAACCATTCGGAAGGCTAATGTAAAATAGTATGAGAATGATGAGTCGTTTTTTCATGCAATCATCAATAGTTTCTTAGATATTTGACAGAAACAAAGTAACAAAATTTATTTTCCTTGAATTACCTAAAAATGACTAAAGCTAGTCCAGATTTCTCGACGGAATTCGCTAAAATTTTCGTAATCGAACCGACCCTCCATCTCCAATAGTTATACCGAGATGCCAATGCTGACGATCAAATTTGGAAAACACTGTATAGCAACAGGTATAATTTTAGATTTTGAAAAATATTTTTCTTGCAATCAAGAATTTACAAATGCATCAAAATTTTTAAATTCATAAAAATATCTATCAAATCCTTACAAGAAACTGAAACAACCTGCATTTCAACAACAACTTCATATTTTCATCATTACGAAAAATCTACAGAAAATATAGACGTTTGAGCAGTTTTGCGCTAATTTGAAGGGAATTTTCGACAATTATATATAGCCTCGGGGTCCGAATAAGCTACCTAGATAAAGCATCATGGTAAAAGAATGAGTTGTTGGAATCATTAAAAAAATCTCGACCAACTCACAACTTCATTGGTTTTTGTGAAAATAAAAGTTTCAAACAACTTCCTCAGATGATGCAACAGTCTTCAGAATCCAGCCTAGATCACAAAATTGAAATATTGTACCAATAGTATTTTTTCTTGTTGCATTATAAGAGTATGAAGGTGTCCTTTTTTGTTAGCCGGAGAAAGCCCAAAAGAAATAAAGACTGGAGCATCATCCGTTTTCAATATAAAAATATGGCAATCATGTGTCCGATCTTGAATTCAAAATAGACATTCAAACGATTGTTACGTTATATGATGATTTGAAAAATCCGTTTTCCAGCATTTTCATTTTTGATAAGTTTGGGGCACAATGAATTTTACAAAGAGAATAATACGAAATACATTATCTTTGGATCGGAGGATATTTTTTTTTCCAAAAAGCGGGGAAGTTTGAACAGCCAACATAACATTTTTATCACATGCAGTTCAACAATTTAAGAGTAAAAGTAAATTTATCTATATGTTACATAAAGGGTTCATATACAGTTCTATCTTTCTTTTCAATATAATATTTTACAGAATTATCAACATTACCTAAATCCTTGTTTAAGTTACCAAGTAAAAAAGCAAGTTTCAATTCCAATAAAGCATTTTTCAGGGCGGTCGAAAGATTTCTTGAAATTTTCTTCAGTTTGGCCCAGAATAACTCTTGATTTCTTCATGGCAATATCACTGATAAATCAATGTTATTGAGTAGATAGGTTAATGAGGTTTATAAAACACTCATGATTGTGATACATTTCGATTCAGATCTCTTATGTTTCAGATTGCAATTTTTTCCAACATATAATTATTACTATCTATTGATTGACTTTCCAATTCCAACTCTGGTGAACTCTAAACAGATAAAACAGTTCAAATTAAACTAAAATCTATTTCGAGAAAGGGTTTTTATGACAAAAATTTCAAAGAATGTGTCAGCTTTCAATTTCAGGCCGCCCTGTACATTTCATATAAGTCATATTCGGATATGATTTGTAGTATTGTAGTGAATCTATACTTAAGTTATGTGCGTGTATCTACACTTTTTTTCACTTCACACTATTACTATAAGTCATGGTAGTCCACTGATTTCATCAGTTTTTTCCTCACCGAAAATTAATATCTATAAATATGTTATACTTATTCAATATTATGTTACAAACGCTTTCAAATATTTTGAGGTACATTCGAATTTCGTTTCTCAAAAGTTTTGAGTACCCATTGTCGGGATATAGTCTTAGGTATATTTTTCGTAATCAACAGATAAATATAATGTACAAAAAGATATTCGAAGTTCCTATTCACCGGTTCCGAATGCCACTTTTTTTGTGGCAGGAAGTTCAAGTGATTCGTCTCTTTCTGAGGAGCGGCAGTACGAAGCTTCTTCTCACTGGAAACAAGAAACAAATCAACAAAAAAACAACCACTTTCCTGGCTATATGCCTCGCAGAACTGAATTACATGCTACCGAAATCTATGCAATTATTCGTATAGACGAATGAAATCGCAAGTGTTTCCTTCCTAAACGCCAAGCTGTGCCTAAGTGGTTCAGGAACGCGTGGGTACCTGCAGACCGGTTTCGAGCTCTTGGCTCTCATCAGTACAGGGCTGTCCCAGATGGCTTCTTGACCGCTATCTGGTGCGAACCTGACCCAACTAAAACGCATCTAAGCATTTATACCCCACGAGGCGTTCAACGTCCGCGAAATGAACGCGAACGCCGAACGCCACCTGGCAAAGAAAGAAACACTCCAAAACAAGATCCCATTCCAGGTGAATTGGGAGTGGCTGGTTGCCCGACTGGCGTATTTTCAACTAGGAAAAAGTCATTCTGAAAAGTGTCAATGTATTGACTAATTTCTTTTTATATATAATTGAATAAAGTAAAGTCAGTTTATTCAAGTTTATCCCGAAAACCCCACAATATTTATCAAACATCTCTTCAGAGTCTGCATCTTGAAGCGTTTTGAACAATTAAGGTCATACTAGTGTAGTAGGTATAGAGTATTTTAGCATTACTCCAGTTCCTGAACTTACTTCTCAAGGGTCACTGAATGTCAAACTAGACAACACAATAATCTCATTGATATTGCAATTGCTGCTTGTTACTTGGTCTGCTCAATTCATGATATTATTGAAACTTAAAGGTTTATGCTACCTGACCACATCAACTTTAAAAGCTTCACTGAATCACAGTAAGTCCCTCCGTATTATTTTTGGTCTTAACTTATTACTTTCATATTTTGCATCGAGACGTGAAACCTTCCTTGAAATATCATGAATTGAGATTATACTATTTGTCCAGCCCCAATACTTACTACTCAAAGACCATTTGAATGCCAAACTTTGCAACTTGTTATAGGACATACTTAAATAATGCAGCTATTCCACCAGATGCCTTTACTGTTGCTTAAAACGACTTTGAAAGTTTGCCACAGTATCACAGAAGGTTTTACCGTTTTCTTCTTGATCTGAACAAACTTTGAGAGCTTGAGTTGCCTTTTGGTCAGCTTGATAATCTGAGCATGCCCAGCCATGAGCTACTACTACTGAATGATGCGTTTTCATTGTCACACAGTTTGAATAGACGTAAAGCTTCTCATCCGTACCTAGAATCTTTCTCGCAGCCATACCATCCTGCGCAGGTCTACTACAGTGATGAATGATATGATAGAGAAGGATGCGGTGAACGAGTGAACTAGACAAAAACAAATGGCGTGCGATGGTGGAGAGCTAGGGCCAGACCGGCTAGGGGTGGAAAAGTGAGGTTAGAACTTCAAGGATTCCAGGCTGGCCGCGGAGCCGCGCCTGGACAAGGCTAAAGAGGGAGGACCACTAACCAGGGAAGTCGTTCCGAATAGCTTGTACCAGCCGATGACGATGTTGCTGAGGTTGAGGTCGTCCAGCATGATTTGGGCGACGCCCATGAACACCTTTTTGCCCTCGATACGACCGTAGTCACCCCAAACCGTCACCTGAAAACGAAAAATTGATGAAGAACATACTTCCACTTCGGATTTAGGTTTCTTTTTATCGCTTGGACATCTTGCGTACCTAGGGAGGATTAGGAGAGGAGCTAGGTATTGGCTTATTTTACCTCTTAGAGATTGAGAGTTCTTGGGAATACTTTATTAGGCAATGAATTCCAGGGATTCGCCATCCTATAGACAAACGAGTTTCGATTAAAGTGCTGTTTGATATATTTCAAGGTTGACAACGAAAGCATGTGCTGACTAGGCTTGTCGAGGTCGTCTCGCTGGAATTGCTAGTGATGGAATGATAGCAGATATTTCTGTTGAACATTTCCCGTAAAAGTGTCTATAGAAAAGTGAAAGGTCACCGACTTTTCCACGGTGTTCCAATGGTCTCAACGATTTAGTGAATGTGGCTTCACCAACCAGGTGAATGGATCTTCTCTGGATGGAATCTAAGAGCATCAGCGTATATGTTCCCAGTTCACACAAATTGATCCCAGAGATGTATTGAGCGACTCCTCATTCAACATCAAAATTGATTGATCCCGTTTGTTACATAAATTGAACGCCATATGTGGGAACCTGGGAACAGTATTCTGGAACAGGCCGCATGCCGTTATCTGTGCTCTGCAGATCATGAGAAGCTGTTGAGGTGTAAAGTAGCCTTTTGCACGGAACAAAAATGAAAGTTATTGTGAAGCAGCCTAATTCGCGATGGATCTGACATGATTATCTCATAAATGAGTATTCCTGATGCAAATACCGAGCATAGATATAGTGGACTTGGTGGGAATGGTGGTACCAGACATTGTTATATCAGGCATACTGAGTTCCACCTTCCTAAAGAAAATACAGGCTTAGGTTTTGGTGGCGTTAAATTCAACTAGGTTGTTGGTTTCAGCGTCGACCTGCTTTCGCCGTGAGTTCTAAGTTTCCTGGGAAGAAACAGGAATTATGGAAGAGAACACAGTATGGAGAGTACTATCTTCTACAAAGCTGTGAATAGGGCAAGTGGTTACTCCCAATAGATCGCTGATAAGAAGTAGGAACAATGTTGGTGCTGAAGTTGATCCTTGTGAAACTCCAGAATAATTGATGGCAATGGTATCAGACGATTCTCCGTCAACCACCACGTGAAGCGATCTGCCTGAAAGAAAACTCGATAAAAGATGGCATAGCTGAGGTGGTGTATGATGGTGGTTTGTGAAGGAGTCCTTGGTGCCAAACATGTTCGAATGCTTTCGATATATCTAACGCCACAGCGAAAGATTCTCCATGATTTTCTAATGAATCTTCCCATATGGGTGACGTAGGCAGAAAGATCTCCAGTTGATCTCTGATGGTGAAAGCCATATCGTTCATCATTGATGATTCCAGAGCTTCCCAGATATTTGATAAGCTAAATGGCTGTTTCTATCACTTTGGAGATGACTGTAATAGGCCTTTAGTTAGTGAGCAGGATTGTGTTGTCTTTTTTGGGGTGAGGTTGTATTCTACCTAACTTCCAGCAAATATCTGACTTGTACGAGATGGTGAATAGCTTGCACAGAATTGGTGTCAATTCTGGCACACTTTTTGAGGATAATGGGTGGAAGTCCATCAGGACCGTTAGTTTTATTCGTTTTGAGACCAAGCAAAATCCGTTCGATAGTGCGTTGAGGGAAGACGATTTCACGTATTCGACTTTCAACGAGTATGGAATTTCTTGTTTTTCAATTCCTGCATATTCGCCGTAGAATCATAAAATCGATTCGATTCAAATAACTAAAACTCGTAATTAGGAGATCTAGGATGACTTTATAGTAAAAATGGATAATTTGACATGATACATACTTGTAGAATACAGCCTTGGAAATTCTCTCTGAACGCTAATTGTTGCTGGTACAGGGGGTCCAGAGTACGCCGGGCAGTGCTAGTTTTTGCTTTCGCAATACACTTTTTTCCATTTACGAGATAAACCTTGACATAAGGAGCTGAAACAATGAATTCATTAATTATTACCTACTTACTTTCTTACTCGTTGATGAAATTTCGTATTTATATGAAGATAATTAGTTTTTTAGTGAAGTTTGTCTAGATTTTCAGAGAACATGTCCAGATGCCCAGAAAACATAAATGTTCAAATTCGATTCGTATGTCATAAGTGGAAACAACTAAGCCAACTTAGGCCAACAGTGGACCACCAGAATTGAAATTAAACCTAGAGCATTCGCCAAAAAGTTAAATTCTGAAAGCATTTGTATTGTCTACTCATTAGACATATATAAATAATTAGCAATTCAATGCACCTAATCAATTAATATATCAAGTAGGCATGATGACAAAGACAGGGTTATCCAATCAAACTGCTGAAAAAATTATACAGGGTGTGTCTACAAGTTCTGTACAAAACGCCACAAAACGCTAACCAAATACTCCGGCTGAAATATGAGGAATTAGCCCAATTTAACACATTCCAAGAGTCTTTGGTTTCCAGAATACATGGTTTTATGGATACTTTTCAAACTTTCCAAACATTGGGCACTAAGAGGTTTTTTGGGATGAGAAATCGACATCTGGTCACAGTTTCGGTGTACAGGGTGCAGAGGGTGTGCCTACAGCCTATATCTAAAGCCAAATAATTTTTTATATCTTGGAATAATGAATTTCAAGTTCAAATTTCTCATTCCTTGTCATATTTTATCCAAATAAGAGAACTTAGTAGGTCTTGCCACTGGCAGCTGTTTCAGAGATGATGAGATTTATATGTTTCAATGACTACTGAAACTCATCGTACTTCCCCTTCGAATTCCAGATCTCAATTTATTCATTAAATAATGTAATAATGTACTGGGGACATTTTCTGAAAATCATGCAATTATGGAGATGGATATCTTCAAAAATGTAAACTTCTTGTCTCTATAAGTAATAGTATGTTATACCACGAGGAGTAAAATTCAGAGAGAATAATGGTTCTATCGCGAGTAAAATACTGTACTTCATTTACGTCTAATTTATTCATTTCTGATTTTCAATACAAAAATTCTTCATTTTCATTAATCTCAATATATAGGGTGTCCGAGAGGGTCGTGTCTCATAAGTCATGGATCGAAAAAAGTGGGTTGGTGGAGGGGGTCATTTTCAATCAAACTAATCGAATACGTGGTTATCCAATTGTTGATAGTTCAAAAATTATTGAATTTTTTCGAAAAACACGACCAATTTGGGGAGAAAATAATTAAAAAAAGGCTGTTTTGAAAAACCCCGTATGTTATACCATTTCGGAATCTCTATTGAATGGGCAACATTTTCTCATAATTGGTAATCTTTGTGGGGTAGTTTTTAAATCTGCCAGCAGCATTAGAAAATCAACTGAATTGAATATTTCATCTCCTAAAACTTTAGGAAATAGTATATCGTGCAACAAGTGGGGAAAGGTCAACTCTTCTCACGAGTGTGAATGTTTGTGGCACGAGTCTGAAGGGCGAGTGATGCAAACACACGAGTGAGAAAAGTGCTTTTTCCCACGTGTTGCACACAATACTTTTTCTACAATTGCACTTTTTCAAAGAATCCGAGTAATGTAGCTTATTGGTATTCATTTTATAATGTGGCACTATGCCACATTGAATATTGTGACCAAGGAGACGCCTTTCCTAGTTTCTCAAAGTATTTCAAAAAAGTACACTTTCCGAAAAAGATTTTATTTCTGTATTTTTTTAGATTCCATAAATTTTTTGTTTATGCCGATTCATACTTTTTTCTTGAAATTTCGCAGCTTCTTCCACTATCTCTGTCTCTGGTGGTGTATTTATCAAAATCGTCACATCTCGGTATATACATCATATCATTTATTATGAATGGTTGGAATAATATATGATGGAAAATGCGATTTCTATCAAAAGCACTAATGAGAATTAACATATAGAATTTGAAAAACTTCTTCTGACAGTTGGGACAACTATTGAAAGCTGAACAGCAGCCAATTCAGTTTTGGTCGATTTTCAGCATGGAAATGTATGTGGTGTTGGCAAAGTGCCGTGAGAAAAAATATTTCTCACAGTATGAACAATTCATAGTTTTGAAACTATGTAAGCTATGAGAAATAGGCTTCTTTTCATAGCAGTAGTAGAAAAACAAGATTTTTGCTAATTGATAGGAGGTAGAACATAGGCCAATGAATATAAATTTATGGGGAATGGTACATCCATTCGGATGAAATGTGTAAAAGATACGAACATCTTCGTCCTATTTCCGGCTCACCTGGCAGTACTTTGGATCCGGGCCTGGCTTGCAGCCCTCTCGCCCTTATCACTTCGACCTCGAGGAAGCCCTTCTGGTAGCACAGGGACAGCTGGATGTCCCCTAAGGCCGGGGCCCCCAGAACCTGCCGGCCCACTAGCTGGCCAGGGCCGAGGCCGTCTATGAAGTCGGCCAGCTGGCCCCCTTCTCCTGCTAACCGCAAAGAGGGGGACCACCTAGACAATTGACAGTAGGTTGGGGTGAATGCGAGAGGGGAGGACTGATAGCGTTTTCCACTCGACTTGTGTACTCAGTGTATGTCTATCCAGTTTCAATCACACGTGATGAACAGAGAAGGCAATCGTTGAGTGCTGAGATAGTTCGTACCAATGCGACAAGTGGGAAACGGTATCTTTATGGGTGACCGCGTGAGTATAGCCCGGAATTTCGTTGTTACAGATATCTCTGTTTTGGATTTTTGCCGATTAGTGTACTAGTTTTATATCAGATCCAATACAAGTTATTACATCTTAAATGCCTCCCCTCCTTTTTATTTTTTGAATGGGTCAACTGAGAATATTTAAACATGAGGCATAAATGAACCTACTCTGTTTCATCTATGCATGAGGTAATGAAATTGATGCATGAATACTATATTTCGGAGTGAAATTGATACATAAAAGTTTCAAGATGACGACTGGGTGTCATCTGGACAAAAAAAATCAAATGAAAAAGGGGGTCATAATGTTGAAGCTTCTGACGAATACTTCACTACCCTAGAATATGAAGTCAAAATCTTCACCTACTCCAAAATGACGGAACATTTAATAATTGCCTGAATACATCGACGTTTACTCCATAATTTGAGGAGATAAGCTGAGATCTGTTCAGAACATGCTCGAAATGGTTGCCTTGAACTTCTTGACATAAGAACAGCCCATCTGATATTTCACCCCGAACACAGTTATGTAGATATTTCTACGAATATTTATTTTTCTATCCAATATTGAAGCAGGTGCAGTTCCGTTCACATTTTGCTCCAAATTGCCTCATAAAAAAACGTCTAAAGCTGTCCAATCTTGCGAGAGGGCTGACCATTCCGTAGAACCTCTACAGCCAATCCAACGACCGGGGAAAGTATGATCTGAATGATTTTAACTTGTCTGGAGTTGTGTGGTGGTACTCCATCTTGTTGGAATACAATATCCATATTGATGTTTTTGTATTCAGGTAACTATTAATTGTTCCACCATTTTGTACTAGGTGAAGATATTGACTTTATATCCTAGGGTTGTAAAGTATTCGCCAGGAGCTTCGAAATGATGTGTCGCAAGACCCCCCTTCAATTTTTTTTCCCAGATGGCGCCCAGTCGCCATCTTGACATCTTCATCTGGCAATTTTTCCATTACCTCGATTTTCAATTTTTTCAGTTGACCCGTTCAAAAAATGAAAGGGGGGGGAGACATGGAAGTGTATAGGGGATATTACTCATTATACATATATCTAGTTTGGAATCGTTCTTTCTAGAATAATATCCATCCCTAATATAACTTCAAACAACTTTATATAGAGGCCATTCCAGTTGGAACAAAAAGTCAGAAACTGTATCAAAATGAGTTATCTTAATTGTTCTTACTGGATTAATGTCGAACTTCAACCTAGCCCCCATTTCAATTTATAGAGCTTGTTCCGGTTAGGACAAAAAGTTAGCTACTGTATCTGATCTTGGATCAATGTCACACTATTTGAGTACTTAGAGAACTTTTGCCAATTAAAGTGATATCGATTGTACTTACTAACTTACGTAAGTCCAAACTATTCACCTATTTCTACTTCTGAATTTATGACGTTTGCTTCAACATCAAAAAGTAAGCTACTGTATTTGAATTATTGATAATAGTCTGCAAGAGGTTATCAAACTAGTAGATTAGTTTCACTTCAAAATATCGCAGCTTGATCTAGTTAGGACAAATAGTGAACTAATGCATCAAAATGATTGATCTTGATTGTCCTTACTAGCTTAATGTCGAATTTTCTGAATCTGTAGCGTTTGTTCCATTCTGTCAAGGCCACTCCATCAGTTAGGACACTTAGTATATTGATTCATCGAAGTAGTTATCTATACTTGCAAATTAATATTGTTCTAGTTAGAACAAAAACTCAGCAGCTGCGGTGAATTACTGATCGAACTCCCGAATTTATAGAGTTTATTACAGTTAGTACTGAAAGTCCGCTACTTCGACACAATCATTGATCTTGAATATTTTCACTATAGGTTAATGTCGAACTAACTACCTATAGTCCCACTTATCAATTTGGAATTTGTTACAAAAAGAACATCTGCAGATTTAAAGAGCTAAATATAACCGGAACTGCAGTCTATTCAGTGATTTGAAGAAGAACAAAAAATTATATACTATTTCACTCTAGAAAAGAATTTTCTTCCATTCAAGTGTACACTATGTGTATTAACGAAATTCTGGGCTACCTCATTTTCCGATTTGATGTTTTGAAAATTAACTGAGCTGGTCAGGAGTAGCAAAGTCCAAGACTATTTTGAATTAAAATTTTTCTGCCTCCTGGTCATCTCATTCTGGTACAATATCACTTTTATGAATCAGGATGTTTTGAGAGCAAACACACATACGTACATAGAGAGAGATAGAGAAACTGGGATAAAACGGCTAGGTACTACTAGTGATCGTTGGTGGAAGTATTAATTAAACCGTGCTTTTGGACGGTGCTTTTTGAACATGCAATATAGGATAGTTTAGATCTGTAGCTTCTTTAGTTAGACAGGTTATAGGTACATTTCGAGATTATGTACCCTGGTAGAGAGTTTGAGATTAGATTTAGTTATAGCGAGTCGATTATAATAATAAATAAATTCTGAAATCATGCTGAAAATTAAAAAAAATATATATACATACCAAATTTGTAATTGCTAGCAAAGATTCCATGTATTATTCAAACGCCAAGCTGGTAATTCTCTTTCAGTTTCATGCTATGGTGATGCTGAGATTATTGACCAGAACTCAATTGCAAAATCAAGATGTATTCTCAATCAACCACTATATCACTGGTTTTAGACTTCAAACAGCTTGTGACTGAAGAAAAAAGTGATTCTATCCACCACTGGATTCAAAAGCTTTGAATAAAGATAGTGCCGACATTTTCTAGGAAAACATTTCAGCAACAAAGTTATTACAAACTTAATGTTAGAAACTTCTAACAAAGTCACATCTCAATTTATTGTCGATTAAAAACCGATGTTATAAAAAGCTCTTATTCCGAATTATTTAATCAATGTTGAGTTGTCTTGAGGACTTCTGAATCCGTTGATATAAAGTCAAATTGTCAATCATCAAGCCCTGGAAATTCGAATTACGTGATAGCGAAGTCATTTTCATGCTCTTTCTACAGAAGACAATTTTGGAATCGGTTTGTGAAATGTAAATTTAGTGAGGGTATTATATGTGGGTCAAATTCTTTTTTCACTTCAATCTCGACAATGATTCCAAGATAAAATTCAATGATCTCAACACCACCGTTCAGTATCACATGTCTACGACTGACTGATCGCATAACATCGCCAGCAAGGCGCCCCGAGCAATAGAGCACAAATCCGGCCGGTCCGGCAGCTACTTACGAAGATCCCTCGGAGCTCGAGATGGAGTTGAGGCTCGAAGCCCTTTGACTGCTGTCCGCCGACCTGGTCGGAATGGTGGGCACCACTTCCTGCGAGCGCTGAATGCTGCTGCTGGTCGATACCCTCTTTCTATTCAACCCACCGTCTGCTCCCATGAAACCAACAAGCAGTGAGTCGGTTACGTTGTCTCTGCTACCTATATTGTGGTTCAGTCTCACGTTCATCGTACTTGACCGTGTCATGAGATCTTTCTATTTTTCAATAAATTAGTGACAATGTAGATGCGAGTAGTGTATCTGGGTCGGTTCTAACTCTTCTCTCGAGGTCAGAGTGTCGCGACCTTGCGAGGGGTACCTACCCTTGTGTATGAATATTTAGCGAAGTTATTTGACTTTGTGAATACCTAGTTGAATGAGAGAATGACCATAAACAGATGAATATATGGAAAATGCAATATGAGTTCGTTATCAAAGTCAGAGTGTTGCGACCTTTTGAGGGGTACCCTTGTGTGCCTGAAAACCTAAAATTGAAGAGACGAAGTTATTTGACTTTGTGAATACGTAGTTCAATGAGAGAATAACCTCAAACAGATAAATATAACGGTATTACAATATGCAATTTGACTTAGTTATGTTTTCCCGGCTAATAAAACAGTGGTTCAATCTCAAGTTCATCGTACTCAACCGCTCCCTGTTTTCAATGATTCAGTGTTTACATGGAAGCGAGTAGTAGATTTATGCTGGTTCTGAGTCGTCTCAAGGTCAGAGAGTGTTGCGAACTTAGGAGGGGAAATCCTCGGGTGAAGAAAATAAAGAGAAAGATTTCTGACCTTCACAGGGAGTTATTGAATGAGAGAATGATGGTGAGTAGATGAATATATTGAAAATTCAGTGTTTTGTGGTATGAATGTATGCATATCATGTAAATGAGTGTTGCTGCCACTCCATTATTATGATGATCTCATGTGTACATGGAAATTATATGTCATAATGAAGATTTGATTCATACAATTCTGCAGAATGATAAATAGGATGATCTGAACGAACTGCCAGAATTGAAAAGTAATTATTTTGATGATATATCTGCTTGCATTCGATGATAGTAGACAGCAGCTTATTTATTTTGAATGCGCTGGATAGTTCGTATCAACATTTATTCAAAAAGACAATCTTGTGGCACAAGTATAAATTCTGTAAAAATATTGAGAGATATTTGGTAATCAAAGTTTCGTTAATCTTTTCGATAATACATACAGATTACAGAATAACAAAAATGCAGGTGTATGGATTCAGAACAACATTAGATTTTTCCAAGTTTTTCTGAATTGTTTGATCTCACATTGTTGAATCACTAAACTGTATAAGCTAAACAACAAGCAACAAATCAGCATTTCTAGAATCTACGAGAATGCTATAAGAGAACAAGCTTAGTCATACATACAACTTGAGGTGAATCAGTGGCGAAAAAAAAATTACATCTGATAGTTGATAATTGTAGAGATGTAATTTTTCCAAGTCGCAACAAATCACCAAAATTCCTTGAACAATTATAGCTATACAGGGTATTCAAATTCCAGACTTGCCATCAGCATTTCGAAAAAACCTACACAGTTGATGTCTGCACTGGGTATCGTCATCATTCACGTGATATTATGGTTGATTAATCACGTGGATTGTGAGTCCAATGTGTATTTTTTTCGGAGTTCTCGAAATGCTAATGTTAGTACTGTTGAATATTCCCTGCATAGTTCCATAAAAGTTGAGCTCTAACTATTGGCTACATAATGCTGCTAGCTACGTCTATTTTTCGATTGAATTTACTTCTAAATAGCTATGGTAAACTCATCAACTTCTCGGTTACACCTTTTTACCATACTCACTGCTTTCATCAAAATAGGATACTACCTACTGTCAGTACTTTTTTCTCGAAATCAAATTCTAGTGGAATCTCGAATTCACAAATCAGCAATTGACTATTATTCTGATCTCTCTATGTACCTGTTCACGTGTGTGCCCTTTTAGGATAGGTCAGAGTGGAAGGAAAACCATCTTTGAAAGTTGTTCAGTCAATATTTGAAATACATCGATGACAATTAGACGAAACAATAAATCTGTAAACATTTGAATATTTTGGACCATTCATAAATCATGACAGATTATTGCAAGAAATTCGAGCTATCGTTATAGCCATTGGCACGCTAGACTTCAGAAGGGTTTTCTAAAATTTGGTTCTGAAGGAAATTCGTAGTATCAATACTCAATCAAATTTATATTATCTATATTTGGAGATCCAATTTACCATTTGAATACGTTTTTTTGACCTCGACATGTATTTCAAATTACTCATTTAGTGAGAATAATTTTCCAATAGAGAAACCGTGTGCATGGGAACAGCGACGTTGCCATATAGACCAGGAGATTGTGACAGGCGACGTTTTCCTATTTAACACTGCATGCCCTTTTGAGGCTTTATAATTAACCCCAAAATATGAACAATAGACGGGTTCCTGGCCACCGCACGTGTGCACTTCGTAAGGAAAAGCGCTTTTATTTTTATGATGAATTCTGCCTGCTGTTGTAATATACGGAAGTTCAACAAAATAATTGATGGCATGCAATCCGCAGCGACCGATAGGGCTCAAAAGGGTTACGAAAAACTGAAGAAAACTATATAAAGGAGACTCCCGTGTTTTCAAATTGCATGCCGATGTAAAGAATTGAAGTTTTATTAACAAAACACTCCGGAAAAATTGGCATGCGCTTCGAGTCTAACCAACGGTGGAAATTTTCCTGGTGTTGATGCCAAATTACCTACTATTAATTAATTATATAAATGAAGTATCTAATGGCATGCAGATTGGAATCACGGAAAACCTGTATTAAATTTGTACAGAGTTCTACCGCAATTGTCTATTGTTGGTCAGACGAGGGGCGCATGCCAAATATTGCGGAGTATTTTTGTTACTGAAATTTCAATTCTTTACATCGGCATGCAATTCAAAAACACGGAAGGCCCCTTTGATTTTCTTCACCTTTTCGTAACCCTTTTGAGCCATTTCGGCCGCTACCGATTGCATGCCATCAAATATTAGCGCTTCAGTTCGTTTGAACATATATTACGTATATTACAACGGCAGGCAGTAAGTATAATATCGCGGAAAAACACGAAAATTTTGGGGTTGATTATAAAGCCTTGAAAAGGCATGCAGTGTAAAATGGGAGAACGTCACCTATCATCATCTCCTGGTCTAATATGCTTTGTATCGCGTGAACACCTTCGAGCGAGTCCATTTTTCGACGCCCAGGAATCGTTTCTCTATAGGAAAATTATACTTGCCAGGCATGTATATCGCTCTGTATATAATAATTAAGTCTTTACTGGTCAACTTTCGATGGCAAGTGATCATTTATTGATATTTTGAGGAGAAATGAAATGTTTCTTAGACCTGTCGCCATCTGCAGAACCTTCTCCGTCACTGGACGCCGAAGACCCCTGTTTGGCAAGTCTGACATCACCAGGCAATATTTCTTCAGACCTGTGGACTGTAAAGGACGTTCTGCCTCTCTTTCCAAATCCCATTCTACGTTTTCGACCTGCACAATTTTTCATGAGAATTTCCGGGTACAAGGGAAGAGCTTACACGTGTATCTTATCACAAATTCAGAGACATCGATTCTATTCTAACTTTTCTATAAAATGTATCAGATTCTACTTTACTTTCCACACCAACACTCCAATTGACGTTACATTTCAAATCGCCAGTAATCACCGAACAGATCCTTCTTACCTGTAGCTGAAAGCTGGCTGGTAGAACTACTCTTCTTATTCAATCCCCCGAACTGATTTTGCCTATCCCTCTCTCTGTCTCTCGAGTGCTCACTTCTACCCTTCAATTCTTTCTGAGGGATTTCTTGTATATGCCCAACTGCTGTATCGCTCAAACTCCCATCTAAAAAATTGCATATCAAATATATTCATACATCGCAAAGTGCCAGGGCCGAAACTGGTTCATGTGGCACCCCAATTCCTTACCTGTTTTTTCTTCATTCGGTGGTTCGGTATTGGACAAACTCCTCGTGAACTGTCCCCTCTTCACAGTGCCCTCCCTATGGTGGGGATGGTGATGGTGGTGATGATTGTGGTGATGGTGGTAACCGTGGTGCGAGTCCAAGGAATCTGCCGGCTCCCTGATGTCTTGATCTCTCTCTCTAGCACTTCTCGACGCATTCCTATAGCTAGGATAGCCGGTGTACTCCGAGCTAGCAAAGGAAGCATTGTTAAGCCTAGTTCTAGCGCTATCTAGACTATATTTCATAAAACTTCGAGACTCGGGATCTACAGGATGTTTGAAACTGGTCTGGCTCGAAGTGGGAGAGGAATCAGTGCCTTTATCGAAACACGAGGATCTCGTGAGGATATTTCTGTTTTGACTCGAAAGAGGGGTGGAATCATTTTTTGAAGTGAAATACTCTGGATAACGATTTTGTTTGAATAGTTTTCTATTCGAATAGGTCTCATTTCTACAGGTGCAATCCACAAAATGGTATCCTATGGTATCAGTCATGTTGCTGCAACCGTCACCTCTAAAACCATCTCTAGAGCCTAACAACTCGTAACCTGACTCCACTTCATCGGATCCCAAATCTAGTCTGCTGTACTTGGAACCAAGTTTTTGAAAAAATCTAAAAGGATTGGGTGAAAGACGATTGGTGAGGAAGCTTCTAGGTATTATATCCATAGGATGATATGTGTTTGTCGGGTAGAAATTTACACCTAATGTTTTGCTACGTGACATGATGCGTTTAGCTATAATTTGGGAAGTGTTCAAGGACATAGCACGATTAGACATCGATTTACGTATGTGAAAAGGCAAGGGGATATTAAAATTAGCTTCAGCATGTTTACAGTTCTTCCTGAAACATACAAATGATTAGATGGGTTAACATCAGAGTTGCCAAGAGAGTATATAGAAGATCTCTCAATAGGAACCTATGTATATATTGATGATTGTTTCAACACAATGATAATTCTTGACTATGGATTTCAGAAATGTCTTACTTGGTCGCTCTAGATCCTCTAGGTCTTTCTGATTGCGTGGAAAACGCGCTGCTAGTGACCGAAGCAACGCTCTCCATATCGCTATCGAAATCTACGAGCCCCAACGGATCTCGGTCTCTATCTCTTTCTCTCTCGGGGGGTGAAAACGACCTCCTGGTGGTCCTGGAATGGTTGGCGAGGTCGCTATCGCTGAGGCCGCTGTACCTCCTTTCCCAGCCGGAACCTGTGCTGCGGTAGGTATGAACGTACCTACTGCATTCAAAAAGAGAAATGTATCAAGCTGAATCATCTATGGAATATTTTGCATTTCTCAGTATGCTTGATGATTTCAATTCCGAAAACAGAGCAACAGGTGGAAAATACGGCAGAGAATACCCTTTTATACATTACTCACAACGTTATTTATCTCGTTTTGAGGTATTTGATTTTATACCTGAGGTATCTGGAATGGATAGGGTTGTCTTAATAGTCAACTAGAACGAGATGCTATTGTATTCTCATAACAATCCTCTTTAGTCGCACTCGATTCCTGACTATTGGAGAAATTCAATGCTACGTGTTTTCAACCCAAGTCAAATTCTCTTCCGATATTTATCTTGATAAATATATTCAACTGTAGTATGAAAAAGTATTTGAATACTGGAAATCGTTTGTCAATTCAGAGAATGTCCAGCTCTACACCTCTGGCATGGGTGGGATAGATATAAAATGAAAACAAGGAGTGAAATACTTGGAACAACTCATCCTGGACCAAAAACTACTTTGAAATAAACACGAGAAAGAAGTAATAAACAATGACACAAAAACTCTGATGATATGCAGAAACATCGCAGGAAAAGGTGAAGATGTACCCCTAGGACCCCAAGATTGTACACAAACTTGCGCCTCCTTCGTGGGACCAGAACCCTTGTGCGGGATCAGCAGCAGTAGTTACTGTATTTATCAGAAGAGAATAGAAAAGATGAAGCTGAACATAGATTAGATATCTGGGATAATCTTCAAGGTCTCAGACAGGCTAAGATACTAGGGTGTAAATTTGAAAACTTTCAATGCGAATATCTCGTGAAATAAAAAAGTTAGAAAAACGCCGCTTGGCAAAAATGATAAAGATTTAAGGGGAACTAGAACCACCATATTTCAGTGAAGGGATGAGTCACCCTGTCAGCGCAACACACCTTAACTTTGAAATGTCAAATGGCACTACCTCTTTTGTGATACCTCAAATGAACGGTCTCAGTCAGTAGTATTCACCTGTACAAGACTTTTTTTCCACCCACTACAGGGTGTACGAAAAACATTAATTCGAGGGTCTAAATTTGAAAACTTTCAATGCGAATATCTCGCTAAATAAAACAGTTAGGAAAACGCCGTTTGGCACAAATGCTACAGAGTTAGGGGGAACTAGAACCACCATACTTCAGTAAAGGGATGAGTCACCCCGTCGGCGCGACACACTCCATCTTTGAAATGTCAAATGACTCAAATGGCACTACCTCTTTTATGATACCTCAAATGAACGGTCTCAGTCAGTAGTATTTACCTGTACAAGACTCATTTTCCACCCACTACAGGGTGAACGGAAGACATAAAGTCGAATAAAATAAAATGCAGAATGCCGATATATTCCAAGAGATGTGTTCTAAAATGTTAGAATGGCATTTGAACATCGATTATACTATTGCTTAGAACAGAATAGAATGCATCTTGAACATCTGATCAAATAAAATATCCTTTTAACACAATTCATTTTATTTTATTCGACTTAATATTTTTCGTACACCCTGTAGTGGGTGGAAAAAAAATGTTGTACAGGTGAATACTACTGACTGAGACTGTTCATTTGAGGCATCACAAAAAAGGTAGTGCCATTTGACATTTCAAAGTTGGGGTGTGTCGCGCCGACGTGGTGACTCATCCCTTGACCGAATTATGGTGGTTCTAGTTCCCCTTAACTCTTTAGCATTTTTGCCAAACGGCGTTTTTCTAACTTTTTTCTTTCGCGAGATATTCGCATTGAAAGTTTTCAAATTTACACCCTGTATAACACACAAAAGATCGAACGCATGTATCAGCTTGAGAAAGGATAACCTTCGTATACTAACGGGAGTTTTAACAGGACACTACCGGTTGAAAGGATATCTTGGGAAGCTCTGCTGAGTTATCTCTATCTACATACTTACGGAATTTGTTACTCTGCAGAAACCAAGGGCAAGAAATCTATAGGAGAACACCTAATTGAGGAGGAGGAGGAGCTACCCTACCTGGAACCACCTCATCTCCTGGACTAGAGAAATTGCTTTAGCTAATGAGGACAACCTCATCAGTTATAGCACAATATATCTTTCAAGTCGTAGTGTATTCATCCTTTATGTATACAATACAATACACCTCTAGTATGCTATTTGAATCCCGAACTTCCTTCCCTTCCTAACCTCACCACCAACACCACCCGAGGGTCTACATGAGGAAGTGCCTATCTGAAATTGTTTCTTTATTGGTGGGTGTGAAATAGGCCTCAAGCCAATTATTATAAGCTAGGCCTTTACATAAAGGTATGTAAGAGGTTGCTCTTCAAAATAATATAAAAATTACTGTATTACCACTTGTTCTTTTCGTTGACACGCTTATTGGACAACCCTTCATATACATAACTAGAAATTGATAGACCAACGGTATGCTATTACTCTTACTCACCCCATCCCTCTGGCTCTGCCGCCGCCTTCCAGATCCTGCGCCACGCGCTCCTGCAGCGCACGAGCGAGCGCCTGCGGCACCTGCGGCAACTGGCGCTTCTTGGGCGAGCCGGTGGGCGTGGCAGTGGCGCTGCGCGACCGGAACCGCGCCATCTGATAGGCGCTGGGGGCGTGGTCGGCTGCGCGCGCATCCGGGGGCGACAGGCTGCGGTGGTCGGAGGCAGCGCGCCGGGGCGACTTGGAGCGCGAGCGGGACGCCCGGGCAGTCGGCGGGTCGCCAGGGGCGGCGGAGTGGGAACGATGGCCTGCCATGCCGCCCTGAGGGTGGGGAAAGGGTGAGTCATACACGTGTGGCAAGAGTAAATTTACTATAGAGAAACCATTTTCGAGCGAGTCCATTTTGCGGCCAGACCACTACCAATCGAAGGGAATATCGTTTCTCACACTTGCCAAGACTCCAAGTAAGTGGGGCAACGACGCCCATGAATCGTTTCTCTGTAGCAATATTTTTGCCAGACTATTTCACGCAGTTATCAAATGAATCAATCAGTCAAGTTTGGCGCACCTAGGGTCCCTTGATGCAAACTGATGTATTTGTCATCTAACAGGGTACGGACAGATCATAGCTCCTTTCTCTTTTATTCATTAAGTGACTTTGGTTTCGTGTATTAGCGTTCCTTTTCTTTATCTTCTGGTTCCCACGGAACGGGATATCCTGTAATGTTCAGAGAACATCGTGAGAACCAAGGGAAATGAGGTAGAAATTGTTATCCTTCTTGAATTTCTGGAGGTTATATGCCTCGGGGAACACCTCCCTTCTCAATGTGTTCAAGAGCCTCGCTGTTCGTTGGATGAACGAGTCTTTGGAAAGAGATGTTCTTCAGGTCTCCAAAGTGACCACGAAAGCCTCAGCTCGACGGGTTAATCTCGTGGGGACTGTCAAGGAAGGAACAATTGTTGATATTCCAAAAGAGCATCGTCCATGAAAATATCTATAAAATAGAACCAGATCGCTAAATTTTCTTCGGTGTTCTCGAAAAGTGAGTGAGTTTGTGGGCGAGGCATCACCTACGAGACGAATTGCCCTTTTTTTGACAGAATCCAACAGTTTCAGGGTATGTTTGGGTGCTGCACTCCAAATATGGGAACAGTATTCCAGGACAGGTCGAATCGGTACCTCATAGATCATAAGCAACTAACTGGAAGTGAAATAGCTCCTGGCCCGAAACAGAAAACCAAGTTTTTGGGATGCACTTCTAGCAATTGATCTCACGTGATTTTCCCAAGAAAGGTTATTGCTGATAGTTATACCAAATGGATGTCTTCAAAGGTATGGTTACTTCTTCAAACGTATGGTTTTTCCTGAAAATCTTATGTTAAACATTGCTGTCACGTCACATTCATAGGCGTTGAAAGTGATCTTTTAAAAAAATTTAATTTCATACTGGATCTTGATACGACATTATTCAATTCTGTTTTGGAAGGTTGGTAAAATGTGCGGCGTTAGGCTGTTTCAATCAGTTGGATGGCAAATTTGAATTTGTCAGCTTTCCATCAAATGCAAATGAACTAGAACATGGAAAGTGAAGTGAGAGAATGGGGAAAATAGGTAAATACATCAGCAAAATATTCGAGGTAAAACCAATACGAAATCACATATTATAATTTCTCATTGTGCCTATAATTATCCACTCCAAGTTTTTGAATGCATTTTAGTAGAAACAATTCTTATTAAAACGGAGGATTAAAAAAGGCATATGCCCTACCATTTAATAAATTATACCTACATTCAGGAAATATTAAGTGTTCGTGAAAAACTGCAAAAATGATTCCAAACATGATTATATACAGCACACATGACATATGGCCACGTTAGTTAAATACCTACTTAAAAATTTTCACCATTTTTCAACCATAAGGCTTAATCTGAAATCAAAATTCATTTATTGATAGGTACTGCCTAAGAACAGTCCCATTTCGTAAAACGTATTAAGCTTTCAGAAAAATTTGCTCACTGCCTCACAAAGATTATGCTGGAGTTGAAAAATCAAAAATTCGAAAATTATCATCATCATTTGGATATAATATGTAGAGTTGAATGAGAAATTACATGTAAAAATTACGTATGATACTCCAATGTCCTCAATATAACCTAAAAAACAACAAATGTCAGAAATCTAGTGTTTATCCCCAGAAATGAATAAAGATGGAACTATATTACTGTTTCACGAACACTTTAGAGTGAGAGGAGACGAGGATCTGTCCGTACCCTGTTGAGATGACAAATACGTCAGTTTGCATCAAGGGACCATAATAACACCGAACTTGACTCTTGACTCTGATGGGCTTCAAGTTCGGTGTTTTCAATGTGTATTTGACAGTGAAACGTTGAATATAATAAATAACGATGTGCACGCATTTAGCAGATTACATACAACTCAATGAACAACATCACGAAAAACTGTGCAAATGTGAGAAATAATTATAAATTCACGTCAATGATGACTAACTCTCCCCTTATGCGAACTGTGCTCAGAAAGAACTATACATATCAGAGGCATATTCACTCACCTTCCTGTTATTATTATCATAACCCTGATATGTTTGAATATCGTTGTCTCTGCGCGATCTTCTATCTATCTCTCTTGGAGGACTCGCAGAACTCCCTACGCTACTAACACTGGCGCCATCTGCATTTCTTCTGTCCCTCCCTCCGTCGATTTCACATTCCGAAGGAGTATCACTGTCGGAGAACCTAAGTAAAGACACCCAAAATCACGCTGTGAAGTAAATTTCTCGATTGTTCGATGTATTCAGTTCGAGAGAGAGGAGATGTGCTAGGAGCGATAGAAGGATATGGAAAACAGAGTAGAGCACCTAGGCAGAACATTCTGAATGCCAAGTTTACCGAATATAGGAATAAGGGGAAACGACGTCTGTTACAGCATTGAATCGGACAGACAGTCGTGTACTGCGTGTATCTCTATAAAGAGTGTCACTTCTTATGAAAGCGCACCTCTGTATCTTACGCGTAATTGTTGAGTTAGGTTTTTAAAATTCTCAGGAGTCCCCAGCCATAGGGTTACATTTGAATAAATCATGTTGATGGTGATTTCAGCTACCCCTGGTAAACTCAATATCCAATATACTCTGGGTTATAGTTCTGTGGGCTGTAACGACAAACATATCCCAGTGAGTGAACTATCTGCTAGTGTATCTGCCCAGTTAGACCAGATTGATTCCGGAGATATGAGAGGGCATCACATTCTCGCCACACATCACATCCGTGACTCGAAATTAGAGTCCCACTGAAATCACAATGACAGCTATTCCAGACCATTCTGGTCATTCAATGATTCACATTATGATGCCAAATGAATCTCACTGTACGTATTAAACGACTCCTCATTCAACATCAGAATTGATTGATTCTATTTGTTACATAAACAGACAAGAATGTGAGGTTCCAGTGAGTCTCTTGGTTGTTAGGGAGCCTCACAAATTCACTTTCATTTCAAGTCTCAAATCCAATGAAATGTGACAAATATTGCTGATGTTTTGTAAAATAAAGAGTCCCCTGGCAATACCAATGATGTTCGCATTTTTACCTAGCGAGACATGAATGTGCCATCTCAGGGATGTTTGTGTTAACTGGGTGTGAGCAGTAAAGCAAACCACTCACCTGGACCCGGTGCTGGGCGGCGACAGGTGCTCGCTGGGCGTGAGAGCCACTTCCTCGTGTGGCCCCAGCGCTCGCCACACAGCCTGCTCCTCCAGGGGCCACAGCTCCGCCACCGTCTCGCCCAGGAAGTCGTTGGCTCCGCAGCGCACGTAGTCCCACACGGTGAGCTCGAGCGCGCGCATGCGCAGGTCGGCCCGTCGCAGGCCCGAGTAGACGAACGTCTGGTTCCACATCGGCTCCGTCGTGCCTGGAAAGAGAGTGGGAGGCGATGAGTGTAGTTTTCTCTGATGGGGTTGGCATACAGATGGTTTTTTCCCACCACTAGCTGTAGAAACTACCATTATTCACTTCTTTTCAAGGCATAAAATGTGTATTTACTATCAACGTAGTTTTTTTATGTTCTGGTTCCCAGAGAACATCGTGAGAACCAAGGGAAATAAGGTAGGAATTGGTGTTCTTCTTAAATTTCTGGAGGTTATATGCCTCGGGGAACACCTTCCTTGGCAATTTGTTCCAGAGCCTCGCTGTTCGTTGGATGAACGAGTCTTTGGAAAGAGATGTTCTGCAGGTCTCCAAAGTGACCACGAAGGGGTGCGAAACCTCAACTCGAAGGGTTAATCTCGCGGGGACTGCCAAGGACGGAACAATTGTTGATACTTCAGAAGAGCATCGTCCATGAAAATATTTATGAAATAGAGCCAGATCGCCAACTTCTCTACGGTGTTCCAGAGAAGTGAGTGAGTTTGTGAGCGAGGCACCACCCACGAGATGAATTGCCCTTTTCTGGACAGAATCCAACAGTTTCAGGGTATGTTTGGGTGCTGCACTCCAGATATGGGAACAGTATTCCAGGACAGGTCGGATCTGTGCGTTATCAATAATGACTTGTCATATGCCGTCAAGGCCATGGCTACTAGATTTCAATTAGAATTGAAAAGAAGTGCTTTCACAATGACAATAGGTCCATATTCCAGTTTTACAAAACTATAATGATTGAAATATATTGCTAGTGGTGAAAAAAGATTAATATACACCTTGGTAGTAAAGAATTAATATTATTACCCACGGGACCTTTACACCCTTTGGCTAAAGGCTCGGGATATTCTATTCCAGTGTTTCCCGAAGTTGAGGCTTCGAGCAGCCCAACCCATCTAACAAAAGTTTCCAATGGGATTGGAATTGGGATCCACCTCTTGGCTTTCTTAGAGAAAAGGAGGCATACATATTAATAAAGCCCTGATGCTATTTCTGATTCAAGAATGAAATGCCATTAATCTATAGCCAAGAATCTGGCCTCACATAGGTATGAGGTAGTAAAGTGCAGGAGGATTTTCATTGTTTCCTCAAACCTCAAACAGACCCTCAGAGACTCACCAATTGTGAGTACAGAAATGGTGAAGCCAAGGTACCCTAGCCAGATATTCACCAAACTTCAACTTGTCTTAGATGATATCCTCTTTTCTCTTCCTTTTTCAATCTTATCGGCCTTTCTTGGTCAATTCCTCTTTTCCTCTCCCCCTCCAATCCCAACTCCACCATTAAGTGGTGTGGGGAGGACAGACTGCAGCCGCTCGATATGGTAAAATTGATAACGGCAGAAAGGTGAGATACAATGGGCCACTTGGTCTAAGTCGGAGATATCGTCGGAGACATCGGTCAGACGAGGCTACAAACGGGGTGGAGTTTTTAGTGGGTACCTATACCGTGGAGTTAGGGGACTTCCACACTATCAGGCAGGAATTAGACCCATATGGGATGGCCATAAAGGATTTCAACCACCTCGACTAAAAAAACATCAAACAGGCAAGGATAGTTTCCATCAACTGAAAGCAAAAATTTTGTTAAGTGCCTACGAATGAAACTAATTTTCAGTGACCTATCTTCTTCTGATAATTCAATGAGTTCTTCACTTGCTTTTGTTGACATACTGGTTGGTAGATGTTCTTGAAATGGGTTACGAACCCAATTCAACCTGTCGAGCTTTTTTTCTCTTTCTCGAAATAGTTGTCAAAGTTGGTTTCCTAATATTGATTAATGAGTGGAAAATGCATATACTGATTCTGATTCTGCATCTATCATGTTCGTTTCTCTGACATTATTTTGGGTTCATTTCATAGTAGACTAACGTCTAGCCTGTCTTTCGGCTCCGTAGTGTCTGCAATACCAAAAATAAAAGTATAAGTGATTGGTGTTTCGTCTGAGGGGTGTGTTTTTTTGGGGTGTCTTGGAGTTCGGCCAGATATTTGGGTCGGAGACAATCTCGGGTTACGCGGATGGAAAGTCTGGATCCGTAGAGTCTCAAAGTCGGTCAGTACAGGGTGTGTCAACTCAGTCTTGCTCTATATTTTTAATAATAATAATAATAATAATAAATCGTCTTTATTTTTTCTTTGGTACAAAGTAGGCGAAGTTTAGCTATTGCTACTCTTACACTTAACCTAAATTGTACAATCGACAGAAAATTTAGCTAATACAGACATTCATGAGGTAATAAAGAACATAATCATCGTAAGTCGAATAAACAAAAGTAATTTGTCAAAGTATAACTAGGTAATAGAGTTTCAAGTCTTAATTTATATTGGGGATTCACAAAATTTTGCTTTCAGCAATTTCTTGATATTAAATTCAGATAAATGAAGGTGATTGATGAGGAGTGAATTGTAAAATTTTACAGCCTGATAGGTGAAGGATTTCTGGAACATGACTGAACAGTGACGAGGAACATTAAAGTGATGTTTATTTCTCACTTCTAATGAATGTAAAGATGACCTTGGAGTTAATTTACAATAGAGAGATAAAGGAATCCTGTTCTTTATTATTTTATATAGAAAGACACAAAAATTGTATTTAGAACGATTAGCCATTGTAAGCCACTTCAGTTCCCTCATTTTATTGGAAACATGATCGTATTTTCTGAGGGAGAAGATGAATCGACAACAAAAGTTCTGTACTTTCTGAATACGATTCTGATCAAATTTAGTGAGTAAATCACCGTAAACAATATCACCGTAATTGAACCTAGACAGGACAAGTGATTCACTCAGCAATTTCCGTATGGGTTGATTGAGGTAGTGCCTATGTGGATAGATCATTTTCAAAGAGCTGAATGATTTTTTGAGCAGACTATTAATATGTAAAGTGAATTTTAGATCGGAGTCAAAGATAATACCCAGGTTTTTCGTGGATTCCACAATAGATAGAGGGGTGTCGTCTATTTCAATAGATATATCTTGTGAGAGGCGCATTCTTAAATTTTTGTTACCAAATAATATGAAATGACATTTGCTTTTATTGAGTTTCAAGTTATGTTTATCAGCTAGGTCGTTTATTATTCTGAGGTCACTGTTGATGTGGTTTTGAACAGATTGAAAGTTTTCCATATTGAGGTTTGAGTAAATCTGGGTATCATCTGCGTATGCTTGAATTTTGCAATATTTAATAGAGGTTAGGATATCGCTCGTATATAAGATGAAGAGGAGCGGCCCCAGAATAGACCCCTGAGGTACGCCGGAAGTTACAATTTGAGAAGTTGACATAACATTGTTAATAGAGACTTTCTGGCTGCGATTCGAGAGGTAAGAGTTGATGAAGAATATGGTGTCGTCAGAGAAACCCAAGTATTTTAGTTTGTAACAGAGTAATGTGTGGTTGATCGTATCGAAGGCCTTCGAGAAATCGAGGGTAATTAAAGCTGTTATGTCTTTACTATCTGTATTTCTAACGATATCATCAGTAACCTGTACTAAAGCTGATGTCGTATTGTAGCCTGCCCGGAATCCAGCTTGACAATCTGGAACAATGTTGTTTTCATTAACATATAATGTTAGTTGCCGATGAACGGCTTTTTCTAGAATCTTCGATATTGCAGGTAAAATGCTAATTGGCCTCAGATCAGAAAATTCTTGAGGGTTCTTGATTTTACAGAGAGGTTTGATTACAGCTACTTTCCATAAATTGGGAAAATAGTTTTTTTCTATGCAAAAATTCAATATATGAGTTAGATAGATATCAATTATTGGACTACAATATTTCAACATATTAATAGTTATTCCATCGAAGCCAACAGCATTAGATTTTATACTTAACAAAATTTCTCTGACTTCCAAGACAGAAATGAAGTGTATTTTAAAAGGAGAATCATGATGTTTTAGTCGAGGAAATTTTTCAGTATTGTAGAAATTGAGGAGGTCATTATCAACTTCTTTGTCAATGAAAACAGAACTGAAATAATTGTCGATTTGTTCAGGTTTCTAGGTAATGAATAGAATCTCTCTATTCCATGAGGTAGGTAGAGATAAGTATATTTATAGTCTAAGATCCGAACCTAAGTCGACCTTCACCGAGCTGATAATAGAACGAAATATATTTTATCATGAATTTAGTATATTAGAAAACATATTAAAAATGGGTTGCCTAAAAAAATCCTGGGCAGACTATTTTTAATTATTTTTCGAAAAATTATTTTTAATTAAATGTTGCAACATCAGGATAATAAAAAAATTGTGTCCTGACTGAAAGTATGAAACGTATAGAATGTGCAGCCGTTGGGGTGTCTACTATTTACCTGGGCGAACTACTGGGTTGTCAGGTAAACACAGGTATATCGATGCCAGTTACTTTCACTGGATTGGATAATTTAAAAAATGTATATCATCATAAGCGCTGTTTAATTGCGAACACGTTGATATAGGGTTGTCTGCGAAAATTCCGGTCCGATTAGGGGTTTTTAATTTCAACGCGCGTGGAAGTGTGTGACAGAGAGATCCGAGGTAAGTATACTGTGTGATAATAAAGGACCCAACATCGCAGTCGCTTGTGATGGGACCCTGAATAGTAGAAAGTGCGCATGCTCGGTGTGTAAACTATGGAGGGTAGAGGTACCTCTACTACCCTTCATATAGTAAACAGTGCGTGTTATTTTGGAGCAACTGATATTTCAGTAGCAAAAAAAAAAATTAATTAATTACATAATAATTAAATATATTTAATATAATACTAATATATAAAAACAATATAATATCAGTATATTGCGTTATAACCATAATGATATATCTATAATCTATAATAGACAATAAAAATATCAAATACTTACTTTGAAATTTTTTTGCTCTTTCTGGAAATAGAAACAAAGTGGACCGCCAAAAATTTAAATTAAGAAATAACAAAAAAGATAGACTAGACATCTTGTATTACGATTTGAAATTTTATTAAAAAACAGTATAAATACAAAAATAATATTAATGAAAAATAAATTCTAATAAATATTTTCTATTCAATATCTGATTCATCAGAAGTATCATTTTGACTCTCGAATTCGTCTGATTCATTAGATTCTTCCTCATTTGCTTCCATTTCGACAATGTCCTGGATTTTCAAAGGAGTTTGATCTCCGATAAAACCTGTTGGTTTTAAGAAATCATCAAAATGCCAACCATAGTTTTCAGGATTTGACTTCGCACACTTTCTACTATTTAGGGTTCCATCACAAGCGACTGCGATGTTGGGTCCTTTATTATCACACAGTATACTTACCTCGGATCTCTCTGTCACACACTTCCACGCGCGTTGAAATTAAAAACCCCTAATCGGACCGGAATTTTCGCAGACAACCCTATATCAACGTGTTCGCAATTAAACAGCGCTTATGATGATATACATTTTTTTAAATTATCCAATCCAGTGAAAGTAACTGGCATCGATATACCTGTGTTTACCTGACAACCCAGTAGTTCGCCCAGGTAAATAGTAGACACCCCAACGGCTGCACATTCTATACGTTTCATACTTTCAGTCAGGACACAATTTTTTTATTATCCTGATGTTGCAACATTTAATTAAAAATAATTTTTCGAAAAATAATTAAAAATAGTCTGCCCAGGATTTTTTTAGGCAACCCATTTTTAATATGTTTTCTAATATACTAAATTCATGATAAAATATATTTCGTTCTATTATCAGCTCGGTGAAGGTCGACTTAGGTTCGGATCTTCTACTATTAGTTATAATAAGTTTGATAATATATGAATAATATAATAAATCAATCTTCATCTGACGTAAAACTTCAGTTTGTATTACAAATTATCCTGTTTATACGAGTAGTTTGTATTATTGTATGTATGTAAAAGCGTACGCAATAGGTCGTCGCGCCAGTGCTGAAATCGAGACGTGTTTCCAAAGCTTGAATGTGTGTTATCCCGTATTTAGTTGGTCATCGCTGCATGAGCAATTTGTGGATGAAATGCGGATAAACCCATCCCTATTTCGGCAGGGAACAAACGATATTTTTTTTGTCTTCATAATGAAAACTTTCTAGTAACCCGATAGCTTGGTGGACTGCGTATCTGACTACCACGGCGGTGGCTGGGGTTCAAACCCTGCAAGGCGTCAACTTTTTTTCCTTATTTTTTTTACTAGTAATTTTTCGACATACTGCTAATCGTCCGACTGATTTGAAATTTGGCAGGTGTACATAATTCTGATGACAATGCATGACATTTTGAAGAGAATAAACAAAATGGTGGCTCCAAAATGACGGATGAGTTTTGTAATTATGATCCGACTGTATTCAAAATTTGTATCTAGGGGTTTTCGGAGTCGGAGATTACGATTTTCTCGTCGAAATTGGGAAATTCAAGATGGCAAATCCATTATGGCGTACGATATTTGTATCAATCATCCGATTCTATTCAAAATTAAAATCTGGGGGTCTATGAGGTCGAAAATTATGATATACCTGTCAAAATTGGAAAATTCAAGATGGCGGCTCCAATAAGCGGCCGTGTTTTGCAATTATAATCCGATTCTATTCCAAAATTTGTATCAGGGGATTTTCGGGGTCTGAGATAATGATTTTTTTGTCAATATTGGGAAATTGTGTGGCATATACAATATGGCGAACGAGTTTTGTGATTAAAATTGGTATCTGCCCAGTTAGATTCTGAATCTTCTACTCACAGAATAACCCGGGTTCCATGGATCAAATATGGAAGAAATTATTTTTTCATTTTTAGTGCATTTGTATGAAAGCTTGTCATTAGGAAGTTTTTTGTTATTTTTTTGCCCTTTCATGCTTCCCTTGAAAATTGAAGGCATCATTGTGAGAATTAAGAATAAAAAATAAAAGAAAAAGCAGTTCACTATCTCATTGCATCTTAAAACTCACCCGCCAGAGTCCTGGTCCGCCGCTTGCTCTTCTCCGACCTGTCGGGCAGCAGGAACAGCTTGCAGTAGGGGTTGCGCGGCAGCTGCTGCGGCCTCGGCGCCAACCCAGCCGCGCACACCACCGTCACCAGCAGCTGCAGCGCCGGCGCGTCAAACTCGAGGCGCAGCTGCACGCGGCCGGCGATGCTGGCCGCCGGAACGCCGGGTCGGGCCGGCGGACTGCCGGGCGACGTGACTAGCACGTGGGGTCGCTCGTAGGCATCCGGTGGATCGTGACTTGCCCAGGGCAGGCCTGCGGACGCGAGGGAGGTTGGCGAGGGTGTGGCGGGTGGGGAGGGTTTTTTCGGGCAGAAGGTGGAAAAGTTACACTTTTCGGCTGTATACACCACCGAAAATAAGGAATATTTGAATCAAGTAACGTTCACTTCAATGAAGCAAATATAAGTTTCGAATTGACTCGGCCGTTACTTGATGAAAATCCATGGCAAATGTAAAAACTTCACAAACGATAAGATTTCCCCAAAATTCTCAAACACACGACATGTTTCGCTAACACAGTAGCTTCGTCAGGTGATATACTGGTACCATAAACTAAATTAACATTGGCTTGCTTATATATCCTACTTTCCCAACCTGAAGGATTAGTTACCTATGGACAGGTTCGATAAACCTCCATTTTCGGAAATTAGGCATAATATCTACATTAAAATACAGTGTACCGGATTAACTTGGAAGGGTTGATATCAACATTCTATTCTGAATTCATCAGCAAAACAACCTCCAAACATAACGCCAATTGACAGTCATATGCCCGAGATCACCTTTCGCCAATATAATATGAGGAAGATTCCAAAACTAACAAAGCTTGTGACTCCGACGGAATCCCACCGATTGTTCTCAAGAAATGGGCTCCCGAACTAACACCTGTTCTCTGCAAGTTGTTCAACTACTCTTACAAATTGGGGATATTCCCGTCCAACTGGAAAATTGCAAGAGTACAACCAGTTCTTAAAAAAGGCAAGAAGACCCTACCTAGCAACTACAGACCGATCGCACTGCTATCTATCATTTCAAAGATCATGGAGAAAGCTATCAACATCGAGATCATGAAATACCTGGAACATTCAGGTATTATCAACGATAAGCAATATGGCTTTCGTCATCAGAGATCAACTGGTGACCTGCTCGCTCACGTCTCACATATATGGCAGCAATCTATTGAAACATATGATGAAACCTTAGCCGTGGTACTTGATATCTCCAAGGCATTCGATCGAGTCTGGCACCCCGAACTCCTCGCCAAGCTTCCATCTTATGGCTTGCCTCCCCAGCTATGTTCTCTGCTAGCTAGTTTTCTCTCAAACAGGTCTCTCTTATCATAAATGCTGGTGTTTTTTTTGTCCACATGTCCTTTCTAGATTTACTCCATTATCTTTCCTATTACTCGAGAAACACCATTTTATAGCACTGAGTATCGACAGCATTAAGTTGGTAATTTTTTCAGCTATCAATGTCAAAAGGTACCTACAAATAACGAGTTCGTTGTTTCCATCACAACATTGTCTAGAAACAGCAACAATATTACCTACTCATAACCCGAGCTGATTTTGCTAATTGCACCAAATCTACTTCTCCATGTTGGAGGGTTTTGTTGATTAGTAGATCACCTATGAGAGTGTCGGCACAAGATGGCCGCCGCAGGCGTATGGCAGATGGCTTCACTGTCTATTGACTTCACGTTTACTATCGTGTAGTGCTTTTTCTATACTGCTTTTGGCTACTATGAATCGCATTCGTCGTACAAAACATATTAAAGTACATTTATTGTTAGAACAAGTCAATCCTCATGTTCAAGTTCACAATTTTCGACATGATCCCGCAGATATTACGTCATATCCTGATTTTAAATGACAACCCGCAATATCCACTTCAACAAAAAACTCAACTGAAACGTGAAATCATCTAGACATCAGTAAATTGCCATCGTCAACTATTTTGTGTGATAGGTACTCTCATAGATGTATTACGTCAACTGCTGGTTAAATAGGATAATGATTGACAAATTTTTGAGGTTCTGCCTCAGAGCATCATTACCTCAGTTGATGTGGAAGTAGCTGTTTTCAATATAACAAGAACTGCCGTAACCTTCATCTAAAAGACATTTTGAAGTAGGTGAAATAATTATTGATCCACCGTGAGAGGAAAGCAAATCGAGTTTGCTCGAGAGTTCAGAAACACGATCAACTATCACTTGTCATAAAATAAACAAAGACAGTTGCAAGACATAACTTATAAGTATGCAGAATGTTCAGAATCCTCAATTTTTCTGTTCAAATTCTCCTTCGGGAATGAAATCTGAGTTCCTCAGGGATAAATTCAATTGATTTTCTCAATGATTTTTCCATTCAATTTTTCACTATCAGTCCTTTCATTTCGTCACATACCTATCTATCAATTCCACCTGTTACTCAGTTCCAATAATATTCGTAGACCAGATTTTTCATTTCACCTTACGCTAGAAGATTCGACCTTATTTCACAAACAAATATCAGTTGATTTTAGCAAACAGTTCTTAATTTTTTATATATTTTCCATCCTTTTGCCCGAAAACTGCTGCCCAGGAAACATTTGACATATTTTCAATATCAATTCAAATTACCTAAATGCAATGCGATATCACCACACACAAATATTAGTTGTTGCTCCCATAGAAAGAGGTACACTAAGTTATACACGTTCTAACTAAGATAGGGAAGAAAGGATAGACAGACACCAAAAAGTGATGCAGACATAACATCTTTGTGTGGAGTGTATTTTTGTGAGAACTAAAAACAGTGTGTACACAGGACTATAAAGCAGTTCTTTGGTGATGATCAATCGATATCCAAATAATACTGATATCATCGGATCACAAAATTATATCAAGGTACAAAATATAATATTGCAAAAAGAATCTTGCACCGTTTATCGATATTCTGGGATATGCCTTTTCTTGTTTATTGTATTACAAAAGTTTTAGTTCCGATGATTCCAGTTTTTGAACAGTTCTGCTCCTACCTCTTTGGGCGGCAGAATGCCTCCAATTGGCCTGTGCTACCCTTCTATTGCCCATACTCCTGGATACTATCAGCTCCACATTGGCTTCTTGCCTACTCTCTGCTATTATATCGGCAACTTCTTGATAGGTTTTGCCCTGAAGCGACCTACCATTCCATTCTATCACCTCGTCTCCTGAAAGATACAAGACCCATAGAAATAACGAATACATCTCAAACAGCTCACATATCTTAACTGTCTACATTTTATATCGAATTCCTGATAGTTGATAGATATTCTTGATTTATATAGTTTGCCAACACATAGTCAAACAGTCACACCTAACTGCATGTCTTGAAATTCAAGAGCCTAAATTTCAATTATATTCAAGATATGATAATCACACCTAACGTCAACAGTATTCTCAATGCCTCAGCATATTCTGTTTGAGAAACAAATGTACTTATTACTTCACGCTATTGCTAACTGCTATTTTTAATATGAAGTCTGATATCTGGTCTAGTATCATAGTTGAATAGGTCTAACCTGGCTTGAGTTGTCCTTCGATGTCAGCAATACTGCCTTTTTTGACTTTTTCTATCACAGCCCCAGTCATGCCGTTTTCTAATAGTTTACCGCCCACCACTTTTAATCCTAAAATGGCGGCGCTAGATCCTTGAGAATCTCTGGAATTCCTCCTGAGAATCATGTGGCCAATCATCCTTGACCCATCTGAGGATACTTGCCAGGAGAGAGGGTGCTATTACGGAGAATTATGGAAATAGTGAAATGAGGACAAATCTAAAGTAAATTTTCGTACTTGCAACAGCATGCGTGAACAAAATTCTTGAAGTAATCCAAAACTGGATTTCATGTAGCCTTACAATAAACTTCACCCTTCATAACATTTTCAATAATAATGAAATAACAAAGTTCCATCGCTATGGACATTGTTTTTTTTTTTGAGCTACTTCAAGAAGTCGAATAACATATAAAAAGCAAAAAACATCAGAGCATGCATGGTATAGTACACTGATATAATGCCAAGTTGGATCATTTCCAAATCGAACAGATGACTAATGGTCCGTTTTTGCAATAAAGGGTGAGAAGTAATGGGATTTTAGTTCTATATCACTTCCAAAAGTTTTCATGCGTCATGATGCAGAGATTGTAAAGTGAAAGTTAATACATCTTTGTTCCATTGGAGAAAATACTTCAATAAAAAAACTTAGGAGGACTTGGGAAACAATAAATACTGAACAAGCAGATTCTGTGTAGCCATGCAGAGCGTAAAGAGTTTCAAATGTTTTGGAACAACATGCATCAGAATTGAAAATATTTGTGTGTTCCAGTAGAGTAGAATATGTGATAGAGAGAATTCATTTTGAAGTAGAATTCGTTTTTACATTGTCTTCATGTTATTATTTAGCCTATAACCAGATGCTACGAGTACCATATTTTCTTCCTTATTGCAAAATTTCGGTTTTGGGATTTTTTTTCTAAGGTGCATGGTGGGGTTCCTATTCGCTAGATTGCTGCTTTTCTACTGGTTTTAGCCACTTCTATTGTGCTACCAAATTCTGGGATCGTCAGAAGTTTTTTAGCCATGAATAATTGGGTGCCGAACAAGACTTTTTCAAATCACTAAGAAATATCAACAGGTTTGCTAGGTTTTCTAAAATAATGTTCGTATTTGTTCAACCACATTTGTACAATATCATACTCCGAAATCTATGATTGTGACAATCCTCATAACGTTTGAGTAGATAGGGTAGGGTGGTTTAGAGCAAAATCCCATTTATAATCTCATGAGAGAATGTTTACTTTGAGACAGGCTCCAGTGTGCATTGAAGTCATTCAATTGATTCGGCAATCATCGAACCCCTGGAGTCAACAGATAAGTAACACCCGAGTGAACTTCAAATCAGGATGAACTTCTACAAGAATATACATGTGTTTTGTTCTAGTGCTAGTCTATCTACTCAGCAGTAGGAGTTGCAGGTAATGAGCCAGATATTTTGAGTCAGTAGCACCCGATACTCGATGATTACTTCATGAGAAGGAAATATAATAATGAATGATCCGAAAAGGAGAAAGATTGTGTGAAGAAGACATGAAGGATGAGTGAAAGAAGCATCAATGTTGTTCAACTTTTTTCACGTTTTTCACATTTTTCAAGCATTAAGGTCAGTTTTGTGCATATCCAAAGCTGTTTTCCTATGCGTCACGAAAACTCGACATATTTTCTCCTTTTCAGAGCGCTTTTTGAATTTTTTTCCACGATTTCGCAAACGTGACTGTGATACTTTCCACGTTGTTCAAACCTTTTAATGAATACGTGACGATTGCGTTGCAATTTAGAATTTTTCAACGATTTTTAGCTTTCTATAATGTTGTTCCACAAATTTCCACGTTTCTTATACGCTCTTTACGTGTTAGTAATGAATGGGTCATCTTTTCATTCACTAATACACCAATGTTATTCAACATATAAAAAACTGTTTTTTCTTTTTTTAATGCTTTCGACTATTGCTCGATATTTAGGTGGCTAATGAGGAGCTGAAGTGCTGACTGTGATATGAGTACTCTGTATGTTATATGATCTATGTTGGCACGGCAACTCTTTTGAAGTTACAAGTCTGAATATACATTTTTCCAAATTATAAGTTATCAGTTTCTTGTTCATTTTGATTCGAACATATTACATGGTGGCAGCGGTAAAACGTTAATGAGACCGTTAACATTCAAAATTGAACTGAATGCAAAAAGTAACAAGAGTGAAAATGAGTTCCGAATCAAGATTCAAAAATTGAACGAAAAGTATTAGGTATACCATAGGCGTGATAAATGGAAATTGGCAAAATTTATAATAACAAGATTGTTGATGATATAGAACATGAAAAAAGTAGCTCAATTTATAGAAGGAAACTATAAAGTCTGAAGCCATTTCAAAGTATAGAAAAAGAATATTCTTTTATGATGGATTGAAACAAGCAATCTTCCTTATTTCAATCCAATTTTTCACTTCGAACGAAGTGTTAGGTAGTCCACAAAGTTGAGTCTATCAAATAAGTGACATTGAAGGAATCACCGAATCTTAATCTGGGAGCAGGAGAAGATATGAGATAACGAATGAACAATTGTAAGCGGATAATGAAGATAGGAGCAGTGAAGGAGTTTATGAAGATGATGGAAGAAGTGAAGGAGTTTATGAAGACGAAAGAAGAAGTGAATTAGAGGAATCAGGAGTAGATGAGTCAAACGAGGACGATGCTGAAAATGCTAAAATGGTAATCGATATACTAGGAGTCGAATAAAAATTGATAAACCAAATAGATTAGATTTATAAAGAAAGGGACGTGTAATATGAGTTGTCTGTATATTATATGATCTACGTTGGCACGGTCCCTTGTAGTATGTAATATAAATAATTCCAAAATATAAGCTATCAATTTATTATTGACCATACTGATTCAAAAATATTACACTGGCATTGACAGTTACGTGAACTGACTGCTTCAAACTCCATCAAAATTGTTCAAGTGAGATCACATTTTATCGAAAACCAGCAGTTTTGTGATGTGAAGCCGACGTTATTGAACATATTAGCAAAACGAAAAATTGGTATATTGAGAACAAATAACGAACGACAAATGTTATCGCATCTGTTCGGGTACAGAACATCCGTTGTTTGATATGCCATCAGCTAACCACTGAATGTCTATTCAGTAAGTAGGTATCTCTAGAGTCACTGGATGGTATTAGTTAGAAAAGAGTTCGGACACAGCTGAACTTCTGTCCTTTTCTATTTTCTATATACATACAACAATGGTTTAAGTGAATAAAAGAATAAGAGGTTAGATTTTCTGTCAAATCAATCATTGTCGTAGATGGAAAATAGAAATAGGGTATATAAACACCCACTTCAATTTATATAACGAGATACTTCTCGCAGAACAATAGTTATAAAAATGAAAAGAATATTCATGTAACAACATTTTAATAGGACAAAATAGACACATATGGATATACTAATAGCTCGTTCCTTATTGTATGTAAAACTGTACCCGAGTGATGAAGTGTAAAACATGAAGATTGTTTTGATTCTCCACCTTTTGCTGCATTCCTTTTTCGCTGATAAATTTTGAATTCGGTCGGTATTGAAAAAATCATCTAAGATATTCATTATATCACGTTGCAATTTACTTGATTTCCCTAGTTTCGTTCTCAATAGTCTATTTTGTGAATCAATGAAACAACGGATCTTTTGAATCTTCTGTTTGAAAAATGTTTTATTGAAATTCACCCAGTAGGCCGTGGAAGCAAAATGAAAGCCAAAAATTGAAAAGTTGGCTATGGAAACCATACGTCACTTGACAACAGTTGCTACTACTGTGATATTTTATTTTCATTCGTCGGCGTTATGAAAAGCCGCCAAAAAAAATATTGGAAAAATTGGGAAAAAAACAATACTCTGTAGGTCCATAACTCAAATAGGAACATACAACTTTTTCTTGCCTGTACTATTCAGCAGAACCATTCTTTTCTAATGATATAATAGAGAGTCATTTTTTGGCTTTCATTTTGCTTCCACGGCCTACTGGGTGAATTTCAATAATAATTTTTTTCTGATCTAGTTTCTGGTTAGATACCAACTTGTGATATGTCATTAGAAAGGGAATTGAATGCTGAATAAAGCGAAAAGAAAAAAAAATAGGGTTTCCATTCAAAATAAGAAAGTTGATGTTACTTCCGGTCAGACCGGAAGTTAACTTCGACATGTCAATATGCTCAAAGTCTAGCTCTTATGTCATTATATCGACGCTTCAAATTTCACAAACCTACTTCATACAATAACTGAGATCGATATTCCGTAGGCAATACTCCCGTAGCCACCCGGTATATGAAGGAATGGTTGATATTTCCTTTGGAAAATTAAAGAAATTAAATCGCCATTTCCTTCAGTATTTCCGCAATTTAGTAAACAGCAGGACATTTTCATGTATGCTTTTTTCTCAATAGTTTATGGAATTATATTTAATTCTGACGGTCATAAAATTTGTTGTCAAATTTAAATAATTTTGAATGAAAAAAACGCGGAACCACCATGATGTTGTTGTCGCAATGCAAGATGTGTAACTTAATGGTCATTTCTGTGTCCGAACTCTAACTAATACCATCAAGTGACTCTAGGTATCTCAAGTCTCTGGCTCATTTCATGCAAGTTCCACTCTCCATCGGCCAGGAGCAGGGCCTACAGGAGGCACCCGAAGAACAAAAAAACTTCCGACGATCCCGCCCAACTCCCCCTCGTCCTAAGCACCTTGGGCGCCTCCCCCCTGGTGGTGGAGTCCTCGCTCGACGTGAACGTCGACGACGTGTCGATGCCGGAGTCGCGGTGCGAGTCCTGCGACGTCTGTCTGCCGTCGGCGTCGGGACGCTGGTCGAACCGAACCGTCTTCTTGCGGCGTCCCGCGAAGACCCTGTTGTCGGCCGTGACGTCCTGTAGGGGGCGGGACGGGTGGCTCGGCGCCACGATGTAGCGGCCGAGGGGCGGCCAGCCGTCCAGCTCGTCGGGGCGGTCTGAGGCGGTGAGAGGGTTGGGTAGGTTGTTTCGTGTTTTTGGGAGTTTATACTCCATTTGTTTGTATTTTATTGTTCGTTTTTCGTTGTATTATTCTTCTATCATACAACTCTTTGAAGTGACATTGACTTGCCAAAAACTTTTGTAAATTGATCGAATATATACAGTTATATGAATCTATCTATGCAGGGGACCTTAAGTGGAATAAATTCGCTAGCTGGGAGGGTAATAATTCTTTTGAAAACTCCCGAGATACGTCAACGTTTTTATATATTCACCAATATTTTGCAAGCAATATGAGGAATATAGGCGGTCAGGTCAGCTGAAACCACCCTCAATATGTTTTTTATTCAAATGCAACCCTATGGCTTGTGACTCCTCAGGAAATCAGGTGAAAAGTGGAATCCAGCGTACTGATAAAATTTTATTTTTTCTTACGGTTGGGGGTTGCATAATATCAAAACGTAATAAATAAATAAAGTTAGATTTATTTTCAACGCAACAATTGCTAAAAATGTGTACCATTCACTTGTTGGCAGCATCCCAGTCTGTGGTAGGTCTCGTCCCTTACATTATGCAACAGTTCCGGTGTTAATTTGCTGATTTCCTCTCTTATCCTTTCCTGTAGGTCTGCTATGTTGTTCGGTTTTGAATGTGAACCTTACTTTTGAAATGTCCCCACAAATGGAAATTCAGGGGTGTAAGATCTGGTGACCTTGCTGGCCACTCCATGGTACCTCGCCTTCCAATGCACTTACTGGGAAAAATTCTGTCCAGATATTGACGAACAATAGCAGCGTGGTGTGGCGGGAGCCCATCTTGCTGAAACCATAGCCTCTCGTCGGTCAAGTTGGGGTTCAAGGGATTTGGAAAACAATGACATAGAACTGGCATTTGTTCGTTCTGGAGAAAAAGCAAGTATCTTGCTCCATTAATAGTGTCATCAAAGAAAAATGGTCCTACAATTGTATCTTTGATTATTCCGGTCCATACATTAGGTTTCTGTGGGCGCTGAGTATGAAATTCCCTCATCCAATGAGGGTTCTCCACAGCCCAATAACGAAAATTTTGGCGATTTACATGCCCGTTCAATGTGAAAGTAGCCTCCAATGATAAATGGTTTTGATGAATACTGGTCATAATAAATCGCAAAATTCCAGTCGGTGATCTGGATCATCTTCAAGGAGCTCTTGAACAGCTTGCATTTTATAAGGACGTTTTTTCTCATATTTGATTATCTTCAAAACTGTTTTGTGATTGAGATTACTATCACAGGCCAGTGGAGTGACTGGATCTTCATCTAGAGCAAGCAACAAATTGAACTTCGTTTCGTCATCAACAACAGCCTGCCTATCACCAAATCCAATCATCATCAAAATTTCGATTTTCAGCGATTCAGTTAAATAAGGCATTTTCAGTTCGCAACATCACTTCTTTTCGAACTCTGAATACGGCATACAAACTGAATTCATCTTTGAGGCTGTGTAAAACACTAGCAAAAAATAACACAAATATCAGTTGTAGCAAAAAATTGCTTGAAATTTTTTTGCGGATATCGATGTTTATATTCCGAAACTGAAGAAGACACATTTTGAGCGATTGTTATGTTGAGAATAGATTTAACTTTGAAATTCCATTTATATATTAGGATATCTATTTCAAATGAATTTATTTGTTACGCGAGGGGCGGTAGTCGGTTCATATATCGTCATTTTCCGTAATTTAGGGTGTTTTCAAAGATGGAGCATTTTTTAAGAGAATGTAGAATTCGTTGAAATATACAAATTCCCTCAATGATTGTCTTAACAAAGGTTGCATAATAACGGAGATATTATCAATTGCACATTTGACGCACGAATTTTTGTTCGTACCCTACTATCCCAGTAAACACAATACGTTTCTAAAACATCCCAAAAGTTCCCTAATACGTGTCATCTTGAACATTTCAATGTTAACATGAAGGTATCATTTCTGAATCTTTTCATAAAATATGTGAAATATTTCAGAAATATGTCAATACATACGTTTCATATTCATCTCAAAAATCCTCTGCTCGAAATGTCTCACGTGAATCTCTAGACGTCGCATGTGAAACATCTCCATGTTTACGTATGTGAAACATTTTTGTGTTGTTATGGGTAATGTGAAACATCTTTGGAATGTTTCATTATAGATGATTACTAGTTGTTGTGAATTCATCATTTCTGAAATGTGTCAATTGTACTATAATACGGGTCAACCAAAACATATCTGTGTTAACCTCGAGGAAACATTTCTGAAATAATACAAAACTATCGAGTGTTAATAAACGTTAACTACTTGAAACTTCACATGCCAACGTTGCCAGGTTCATGATTCCGTTTCATTGGCCACAAGTATTTCAGAGTATATAGGTGAAATGTTTCATATTTCATAGAGTTAGTTTCAAGAACGTTTCAGAAATACAAAATGGTTTACTGGGATCACATCACAATCATGTTTGTCTAGCGCTAGTCATCGAATCATCTTCCTCAATTGATCTATTTTGTGTGTATTGTCAAACAATGTAGTAATTTCAAGTTTCACGAAAATAATGAACTTGTTTAAATACTATCGAATTATAGTTAATGTTGCCAAAGTGAAAGTGCAGCAGCAGCCTTTCGTTTATATAGGGAAAGATTTTTGTTAAGAATTCGTAGCAATAGGTACCGAAATATTCGTCAATTTGGTGCAAAGGTGTCGTAGACTGGCTAGACTACACCATACTGTCAGATTTGAACCTCGCCCGATGTTTATGGCGTCACTGTCTGGCTAATCTGTCCATTTACCTACTGATACATATATTTTTGTAACCGAATCTCCGTATGAGTGGTATGTGGTTTAGAAGTCATAATTCGCGATAGAAAAACTGCCAAATGCAACAGGAACGAGAATAAAAAAGGGTGCGTAAGCTGCGTGTATGGACACCATCATGCACGTCTTTCAATCACAACATCGAAACCAGTAACGTCAACGACGAGAATACAGCATTTCTGATTCCTCACCGCTAGAAACTTTTTTATTTTCTCGTCTAGTATCGCCTGCCGACTCAAATTGTCTGACAGTTTCTCCTTCTCATGACTGCCTGCAAATTCCAAAATTGGCTTTAACTATCGCCAAGGTCACACGCAACAACTTATTCGCGAAAAAAATTCGAAGTCGGTTTTTATGCTGCATAAAAGAGTTCCAGTTGCAGTCAGCAAGCTGGTGCTAATCAGCCCTGCCTGTCTAGATCAGCAAATTACATGATATAAGTAATGGAAACCATCCATCCTTCCCAAAGTGGCCCAATTTTTTTCAAAGAAAAGGCAATCAACACCGAGTCGGTCGACCACAAATTATATCACATTAAAGTGCGACTAGTTTCGACTCAAACGGCCATTGTCAGACACGCATGAACATGAAACCATGTGTAAATCAGTATGGTTTGTACAATCAAAAATCAGAGAGGAACACATATTTGAATTTTTTTTCAGATGTTTTCCTTGTCGGATTGATTTTTGAATGTACGACCCATACGGATTCAAAATTCTGATTTCCACATGGTTTCATAGGTATGTTTTTCCTTCAGCAACTTGTTTCCTTTAGAATTTTTGGGTACAGGGACTGTATTATGTAATTTGTGGTCGACCAACTTCGTGTTGTTTGTTTTTTGTTCGAAATTACATTAATAATGTCGAAAAACAATAGCTATTGCTGTTATTTGACGTTGTTCTGCTATTTATTAATAACAAGACAATCACCAAAATAACCACAAATCGCATTAAAAAAAAACGATAATTCATTTGTTGTTAATTTGTAGCTTTTAGTATTATTCATATCAAGTATTTGATGTTATATCTTATCATTTCACTGATATCTTGAGAATATTTCAATTCAGCTCAAAAATTTGAAATATCAACTGAATAATACATATACTGGGTGTGTCGTTATGAATCGGACATACTTCCACCTGAATTAGTGGAAATTGAGTTGAATTCTGAGCCATATTCAATTTTTTTTACGGATTCGGAGATGGAAAGTTTCAGCTCGGACACATTATGACATGAAGTTTTCACTGTGGAAAAAGTCTGATTCCATATGAAGGCATTTGACCTTGAACTGAATCTGTGACTTTTGTTCAGGGTATTTGTCACCCCCCCCTCATAAAGATTGAAATGACGCCCCTGAAGTAGAGGATATAGAAAATTTTACATAAATTATTTGAATTCACCTCAATGTCCTCGAGTTCATGTTGAAGTGTGTCCGTTTTTTTCTGAAACACCCTGTTTATGTCAAATTAAGCTCAAAATTCATCTCTGTCAAAATCCTGAAAACAACATAAGAAGTTCCTGCTTTTATCGATTGACATCGCTGAAAGAAAGGACAAAACGATGACTATAAAAATATAAAGTTATTTGTTATTGGGATACAATCTACCTATACAGTGCATGTAAGTATGGAAACATGAAGATATCTTGGACAACCTGTCAAGATACAATTTTGGTTATGTACATAGATAATGAATATTATTTTTGTGACGTTGCGTTGCCAAATATACAGTTTCTGCGATACCTATACGAATACGATGAGACAATTCGAATATTTTATAATTCTCTGTTGGAATAATTTATTGCCAATGCAGCATACAAACTGTTAATGGCCAATATTGACCATTAATTTTGAGAAATTGAAATAATATTTTGATTTCAACCGTTGATATTAACATAAAGATGAAATAAAATGGGCCACTCGGTATTTGTTGAAGTTCAAAAAAGTCTTTGCTGTTTTTGTACTGATAAACATAATAGGAGGGTGTCAAGATATCTTCATGTTTCCATATACTTTACGCGCACACTGTATAGTATCGACATATTCGACTACTTTAAGAGTTGTCATGGGGGCCGCCAGAAGTACTTTCAGGGAGGTGCATCTGCATCTATACATAATACTATTAGTTTATAAAATTTGAATTATAGATAATTATACATGTTTATTGAATAATTTATCGACTGTATTATATTATGATATAATAGGAAATATCAAGGAACAAACTATTTTATTGCTATGTCAAGCTTCCGAAAATGTTTATTTTCTTCTTCAAGGCTGAAACAATATATTGTATATGAAACATTTTGTTACAAGTCGTTTCAACAAAAACAAGAGCTCACTTGCAATGCGAGTTAAAAGGTATAAATTAGAATCATAATATATTGTTTCAGCCTTGAAGAAGAAAATAAAAATTTTCGGAAGCTTGGCATAGCAATAAAGTAGTTTGCTTGTTTCCCGATTGACTGAACTCCCCGATATTTCCTATTATATCATAATTAAAAATGTGTATGTTATGTCAATTAACAAATCAAATTTGGACAGCAACCTAGATCCTTCAAGTTTCCATTCAAACAAAAGCTCAATTGGAAAAATTATTAACCATCTCTCTCCCTTTCACCCTGCTGCCGGCACCCATGCAGGTGAAATAAGCATATTTACCACGTTGTTCAAAGGTAGAACATTACCTCGACTCATCCTTCTCGCTAAACTATCAAACACGGAGAAAAAGATAGCCAACTACACGTCAAAATACCATCTAGGATCATGGGAGCAACAACCTCGATCTTCACCACAAATCTACGAGAGTGGAAAGTTACCTTTTTCGCTGTCTCGATCGTCGCTCCCGTACTCCGGGGTGGACTTGAGGTCCTCCTCCGAGCTGGAGTAGGAGTGCAGCTGCACCTGCGGCGGCGGGTGCTGCTGCTTCTTCGTTGAGCCGCTGCGCTTGTGCTTCTTGTTGCAGCTGGCAGCGGATTGGACGCGCTGCTGCGAGTGGTCCATGTGGGTGAGCTCCGGTTCTGGATCTGGATATCTGGAAAGAGGAGAAATTTTTCTTCTGGTTCTGGTTCCCACGAAAAGGGATATTCTGTAATGTTCAGAGAACATCGTGAGAACCAAGGGAAATAAGGTAGGAATTGCTGTTCTTCTTAAATTTTTGGAGGTTATTGCCTCGGGGCACACTTTCTTTGGCAATGTGTTCCAGAGCCTCGCTGCTCGTTGGATGAACGAGTCTTTGGAAAGAGATGTTCTGCAGGTCTCCAAAGTGGCCACGAAGGGGTGAGAATCCTCAACTCGACGGGTTAATCTCGCGGGGACTGCTAAGGGAGGAACAATAATTGTTGATATCTATAAAATAGAGCCAGATCGCCAACTTTTCTATGGTGTTCCAAAGAAGTGAGTGAGTTTGTGAGCAAGGCATCACCCACGAGACGAATTGCCCTTTTTTGGACAGAATCCAACAGTTTCAGGGTATGTTTGGGTGCTGCACTCCAAATATGGAAACAGTATTCCAGGAAAGGTCGGGTCTGTACCTTATAGATCATAGGCAGGTGAATGGAAGTGAAATAGGTCCTGGCCCGAAACAGAAAACCAAGTTTTTGGGATGCACTTTTAGCAATTGATCTCACGTGAAACAAGCCAATATCTGTTATGAAATCTTCTATATTAATCATAGGCAAATAATAATATGAGTAATACCAAGATTGAACTTTTGTCACCTTTAATTACGAGTGGTACTATACAAAAAAAGAATATACAAGGTGATTCTCAAATAGGTGGTCAAACTTTGGGAGCATATAGAGTGGGTGAAATAGTTACGAAAACCTCCGTGAATTTGTTTTCTGAAGTGACCTCCAAGAAAGATACAGCCCCTCAAAGGGGAGCCTCGGAGAATGATTTTGTATTATTATCTCCAACACCTTGTATAATGAAAATCTGAAATTTTGTCCATTCACTTACCACTGCCGGTTCGAATGGAGTTAAAATCACCTCAAAATTAAATACTGGGGTGTGTCAAAATAGGGAGGTAGGGGGTAAAAATAAACCCAACTTTTTTGTTCATAGCAATTTCAGTTTTTTGATATGAAATTAGGAACTCTCAGAGCTATTTACATAGAAAAGGTGCTCTTGTTGCGTTTCGATAAAATGAACTTTTAGCGAATAAAATTTATTTTTTCAAGATTTCATTTAAATTGCGATTTAGGTATGTACTTAAGTTTAATTATCTAGGTCAAATCTCGCAACTGAATTTATACCTACTTCTAATTGCCTGATCAACTCAGAATCTGGCAGATGACAGTTGACCGTTATGGCGGCTCCAATGTGGCTGACCAGATTTGTGATTATGGTCCGATTCGATTCAAAATTGGTTTGTAAGGGTTTTTGGGGTTGTACATTTTGAATTCGTTGTCGGAATTTTATTTTAGTATTTTCAACAGGATCAGACCATAATCACGAAACTCGTCGTCTATTTTAAATTCATGAATTCCGACAACGAATTCAAAATGTACAACCCCAAAAACCCATACAAACCAATTTTGAATCGAATCGGCCCATAATCACAAATCTGGTCAGCCACATTCGAGCCGCCATATTTTTTTCTATCAAAGTCCATAACGCGTTGTCAACTGTCATCTGTCCAAGATTTCAAGTTGATCAAACGATTAGAAGTAGGTAAAAATTCAGTTGCAAGATTTGAACTAGATAATTAAACTCCAGTGCACACCAAAATTGCAATTTAAATGAACTCTTGGAAAAATAAATTTTATTCGCTAATGGTTCATTTTATCGAGATTCAACAAGAGCTCCTTTTCTATGTTAATAGCCCTGAGATTTTATAATTTCATGTGAAAAAACTGAAATTGCGACGAACAAAAAAGTTGGGGTTATTTTAACCCCTTACCTCCCTATTTTGACACACCCCTGTATTTAATTTTGAGGAGATTTTAACTCCATTCGAACCGGCACTGAATAGTTAGTGGATGGACAAAATTTTAGATTTTCATCATACAAGGTGTTGGAGATGATAATACAAAATCATTCTCCGAGGCCCCCCTTTGAGGGGCTGTATTTTTCTTGGAGGGCACTTCAGAAAAAAATGTAACCGAGGTTTTCTTAATTATTTCACTCACTCTATATACTCCCAAAGTTTGACCACCTATTTGAGAATCACCTTGTAGATCGTTTTTCCCTCTTCGAAGGATTTTATCGTGTCCACTGTCGGCGCTCGGGTAAATTCGCCTCCTCAGAAGGTGATGGCCCTAGACTCTAGTACAGTTTGCTAAATTCCTACACACTAAACTGTCTCACCTTCTAGGCACCAGGTGGGGATGCGTCCGCATCAGCCCCTCCAACTCGCCCTGGTAGAACCTCGGGTCCTCCTCGTTGAACTGCTGGTATCTCTCGCAAGAGGGCGCCCGCGGCTCCTGCTGCTCCGAGTACTGCCTCCTCAGCACGCTGCCCGCCCGCTGCAAGGGTAGGTTCTCCTTCTCGGCGGCGGAGTGCGCCCGCTCGAGCTTGGGCCGCTTATCGGAAGGGGCAGCGTGCGGGGGCAGGATCTGGGGCAGGTCCGTGTCGGTCGCGGGACCGCCCAGCATCCATTGGCCCGTCTTGCTGAGGAGTTCTTGCTTCTTGCGGCACAAGATGCATATCCAGATCACCTGGAAGAGGGATGCGGGAGGTAGAGGTCATGTGGTCGTGTATAGAGGGTGTCTTGAAAACTCAGTAGGTATCAGGATTTCAGGGGCTCATATTTCAGATTAAAATATACAGTGTTTGTTGAGAGATTTTCTTGAATCCTGTTATGTTTTTGATTTGCAGCTTCTTCTTGAAGCTTGGATTCGGTTCTCAATTCAGAATTTCTTTCCACGTCCTGTATGATGAATATCAATTACCACACATCCAAAAACTGTGTTTTGATGTTAAAAAATTGCGATTTTAGTGGTTGTTTAGTAATTTACGTAACCGCGAAGTCCAATGGAAGATAAAATGACTTGCAGTTATTTCTCAGAGACGGTGTTATTGGCTTATTTTTCGGAACTGGCACAACCAAAGCCATCAACAGCGCACCTATATATCCGGGAAGAAGTATTCATTCATGAAAAGTGACATTTTGTAACCTGTCAACAGAGATGAAATGTCAAACTTTTTTCCCGTCACAAGAAAAAACATTTTCCTCACCACTAGCTATAAATCCTGCTAGTATGAGAGATGGCAAAAAGATTTTTGTCTCATAGCATCCCGGTTTTCTAGATGAACATTTCATTAGAAAAAAGTATTTTATATTGACGAAACCTAGCACATACTCAGTTTTTGTGATGTTCACTTCACTTAGCGCCACTAAGTAACCTGCATCGATATAGAAATTCGTAAATATCTCGAAAACGATGTGTGGGAATAAGGTTCTTCATGAAAAGTACCAAAAGTTTACTCTCAAAAATGTTAGGGCAACTTGAAATAAATAATGACAGTGTACGCAGTGCCCTATAGATATTACATAAAAATTATTACGAAATCATGATTTTTCACGACAAAAAATTCCTGGGTACCAAATTTCGTGCAAATAACTTATTGTTTTCAAAAGTTATTTTTAAAAAGCTAACAATATATGATCAATATCTCCGAAACGAAGCATTTAAGGACACAAGTTCATATAGACTTTTTTTCTTGAAATTGTCCCAGAAATATGTCACTTGAATATTTAAACGTTCTCATGTTACACCCTGTATAGTTATGGGAAAAATGTCTCATTTTGATCTGAGAAATATGTCGCTGAAATCTTGATACTGAATTCTGAAACATCCTGTATAAGTGCGGAACGTTCACTATTTTGTAAAAATCAAGATACCGCAGACAAAATCTTCATATATAGCTCTGTAGATATCGGGCAAATTTGAAAAGATTGCATTTTGAGACCACCCCCCTCCCTCGATGGAATCGGTGAACAAATAGAAAAATACAAGTGTGATGCTGCTAAAAGTGAGCCACACTGTATATGTAAAATGTATGTACGGGGTGGGTCGAATTGGACACTTTATTAGAGAGGGACGTTGCATTTTCGAATACCTAATATACGCGGTTACTGATTCGTGTCGTCTGGAGATCAGTTTTTATGATGAACTCAATAATGAATGCACAATTTCCCAAAACACCTGATGTCAACTGTGAAACTATGGTAGATACCGATTTGCGGGTTTTTCGTGGTAAACATCTCTGTACTGATTTTACTGAATTTCAATGAAATACCTACTCATTTCAACTGTAGCAACTGTAGCAAAATAGATCGGCAATCCATTCATTGTTTTTGTAATCATCAATTGCGTAGGTATTGACGTAGATGAATAAAAAAAATTCAGATAACTATTACTTTCCTCTCATCTATATAATCAGCAAATGACTGATATGAACCTACCCACTTATGCCTGGGTGGAGATGAATCGATTACTCTCGATTTATTTATTCTATATATCGGAATATACGTCAGAAAACTCTGTCATCGAGAGCATAAAATGTTGATTGTTATGCATTGGTATTACTAGATACCTACATAATATAAGGTAGTGGAGGCATACAGTGACCGTCTATAAAGTCTGTTTTCAAAAAATTTTTTTTAGAACAAATTTCGAAATCTTCTCATAATAATAGTTTTTGAAATATTAACGTTTGAAAACTGACATTTTGATTTTTTCCAAAGCAAACATGATTGAAAGCATCATTCGAGTTTTACTAGATGATACTGTTGAGAATTACGAGAAGATTTCGGAAATGGAATAATATACGGGGTGTTCTATTTAAAAAATAATTCAACATGGCGCATAGCCGCGATTTCAAAACTTTAAGCTATCGTTTTTTCATGAAAAAGTCGGTTTTCACCTCCAATTTTAGCCCTCCAAATTTCGGTGCGATATACCAAGTGGTCCAAACATTAGAAGGGGAGGAACGGACTTTAGACGGGCATGGTATATGGCCCGCCTCAATGTTTCAAATGTTTATTGGTACCTTATATAAAATCAAATCGTACAAAATTCGTCAGCATTATCATAACTTCACTAATAAGAAACAATCAGTAACAAAACATTTTTGGTATATCATATTTCGAAACCGTACGATTTAATGGCCCAATAGTAAAAATTTCCAAATCTCTCAGCAAAGTGTTATCTCATCATGACCTAATTGATGTAAATGAACTTGAGCACTTTCAATTTCATATGTGTCATATAGCCAATAGCGGGTTTTATAGCCCTGGCTATATAGGCCACTCAAATCAAGGGCCATATTTCCCTCCCACCAAACTGAACTAGACCACTAAATTTTTCGAAGTGGGATACACGATGCGGTGATTGAGAGTAGTGATTGCAACTTAGTTCAACACACCAGCGATGCTAAACTGCTTTTGTTTCATTAAATCAGGCTTGTAATTTTTATGCGGGTAATATTATCTCCCTGGCCATATATGCCTTCACTACCTTATAAGTTAGATAATCATGAACTTATTATTCAGTAACTAAGTATTCTTGATTCTTCGTATAATGACCTTGGGTATACTTGCGAAATTGACATTCTCTATGCAATAGAGATTAACGATTGAATGATATATATATTTATTGGGTGGTCAAAAACATAATGATCGTTATATAGGTGAATCAATACAAACTGCATTGATTTACTTATAAAAACAACTGGAAATATGGAACGCTCATAATTTTTCTGAGCTGTATAAGGCACTTCATTCCAACTCTATACTCATTACTGAGGATAATGAATTTTAAAAGGTGAAAATCAAATTATAGCCCTGCATGGAGACATTCATCACATTCAAGCGTAACTTGTTTTGGGAGCAAATTTGTAAATACATTCTTATCTTGATTTCAATCTCATTTGTCAAATAAATGGAAAACTGAAATACTGAATAAGGCAAAAGCATTGAAGGGAAGTGGTATATTCATTTCGTTAGATTTGATACCCGAAGATTATCAAAAAAATAAATTTCTGGTGACACAGCAGAAAATTGCTCGTGAAAGCGGCCATTCAGCCAAAATCAAGGGGAAGCAACTCATTGTTGATGGCGTCCATTACACATATGATACCTTGAGATCCAAACACAACAGTGTAACATCTGAAACTGAGAGTAGTGAAATCTCCGAGGAAATTTCCAAGAAAAGATTAGCCGAGGACTCGAAGGATATTGAAGTATTCAGAGGACGGAAAGGATCCAAATCATTACGTACATCTTCCAGAATTGTGAACAAAATTTGAATATTTGTATCGTTGTAAACTTTTTTAGAATATTAGTACTCTCTTCATATGGTAAAGATTATTATTACTAGTACCTTTTCACTTTCTCCAAGTTGTTCAACATTTATATTCAATTTATTACCTTGTAGGAAAAATTTAGAATAAGTGAAGACATAGAATAGATAATATTAGAAATGTCTAAAATAGGTCATTTGAACATGGTTTTTCATGCCTCAATTCTCTTCAGAAATGAACAGATTTGAAATAAACTTGTGAGTGTTGCCAGCGAATATTACAAATCAATGGAGGTTGTATAGGTCCGCCATTTTTTTTAAAGTTTCGGCTCAACGACTGAACTTCATTCCTTCGGCAGCTCTCCTTTATCAAGAAAATCAAAATCGGTTGGAATATGGCTGAATTAGTTGTCCGTTTTTCGTTCTGCACCACCCGATATATTCAAAACGTTATTTTGATTGATATTTGATGGAAATTAAGAAGATCTAGAATGCCCCTATCGATTTTTATCATTGATCAACTTTATATTCATCAGTATCTCAGAAATATCTCATATTTTTTCCAATTATTCGTAAAAGGGAGTATGTACCTACTGAAAAATAAATCATGAGAATATCGTAAAAACTCAATGGAATTCTACAAACATTAAGAAAGAGGAATGAAAAATTTATATTGACACTATAAATAAACCGCACCCTATTTGGTCTAAGATGAAGCCTATCCATATTGATCCACCTTCTAATTATCTCGCCGAATCCTCATTTATATAATATACTATATAACCACTAGTCTACGATCTGTTATAATGCCCATAATATAATGAAATATATCTCATCTTTGATATCACATTTAGAGCCCCATATAACTTTTTCAGTTCCCCACTCCCATGTGCTCACACCACTGGATCAGGGATCGACAATTCTCCTCCAGCGTTTCACTTGCGTCAAACGGGAGTTTATTTATTTATGAATGGATGTCGACAACCTACGCAACAGTATATTTACTTAACGGGGATGTTGGTTACCTAAGGATAGGGAATAGAAATCACCCAAACTATATAAATGATTAGAGATATTCTCACAATGTTCACAACATGACTCCTCTCGAATTTTCTGTAGTATATCCTTAAAATGTAATTGGAATATCCAATATTATGCTGAAAATAATCAAAGAAATAGATATTTTCGTTTTTTCAAATCGTATATTCATGTTTCGGAATGTTAGCCTGAATATTAGGTCCTGAGAGAAGCGTACTACTTGATCATCATACAGGCAAAAACGAAAGTAACTTTTCACACAAAAAGGTAGTGGGGCTCCTAACGGGACACAACCACCTCAATAGGCACCTAGAGCTCATTGGATTTAGACGAAACGTCATCGCATCTCCTCACTGAGTACCCAGCACTGACAC